CATAACAATGAAGCCTTGTTCATCTCTTTACAAGTAAATGATATGTTTTCTTTCTTTCTTGTTTTCCCCCTTGTACGCTGAATTTTTCTTTTGTCTCAGCAGTACAAACATAATACTTTAAATCGATTCAAACATAGCAAACTAGACAGCAAGGCTGGTCTGACAGATTTTGGATATTTCTATTCTATAGGATAATAAAGGAGCTCATATTATTACCATTTGTAAATATATATAGTAACATAATTCGATGGAGGATTTGGTTAAACACAAACCTTGACAATATAAAACCAAACTAGCCTGGAAGTCTATTAAAAGTTCCTATAATACTTAAGACTTTCCATTTTCTTTGTAAGGACTTAAATAATTAAAGAAAATTAATATTTAATGATATATATTTAATTTCAATTAATTCCAATTCCAATTATATTTAAGATTCATGTAACAAAGTATAATTATATATAAGCTAAATATACATATAATTAGAGTTAATCATATGCCATTTATATCATATGTAATAATGATAATATTTTATATGAATTAAAAATATTCAAAAATATATACTTTGCCACATTTATATTTCACATATAAAATATATGCCAATTCAAGCACATATATATTTATAAATAAAATTGTATGAAAATTTACCTTTTGGAAACATAACATTTGCTAAATCAAATTACCACTTTATTAGTATTAACTGAATGAATATTCTCTTGTGTTTGAAACTGATTTCAGGGTTTGATTAAGATAGATTAAGAATAATAATTATATTTTAAGCATTTAATTCCCCTCTTCATGTATAATATTATATTTATGCCCTAAATTGTGAATTTTACTGATAATAAAAGTTTATAATTTGGGGATTTAGTATTACTTTCAACTTGAATTATTTAGAATTTAAAATAAACATTTGGAAATTTTATTAGTGTGCTCTTTTAACAAATTTGAAAAGATAAAAGAATGTGAAAAATAATCTATTATTAAAACACTTACTATAAATATTTATCTTTAAAAATTGTGGCATACAGAGATTTGAATATAATATCCATGCTTACAAAGAGACAAATATCTTCCTGGACAAATAAAGACTCCAGCAAGATATTGGAAAATTTAAATTTTTCATGTGATAATATGAAAAGACTATCTCAACTTTCAAAGGTTTCAAGTATATGGAGAATTTGGTCATGTTCATAATATGTTGTGTTTCTGGATTTTAGTATCAGCTACCAAGTGGAAAATCCTGGAGGAGTTAACACAATTTAAAACATTTATCATGACTTTCCAAAAATATATACTTTATGTACAATTATATGTCCTACTAAAGGACCCATTCTTTCAGTCTTTTACATTATATTTACAATAATTGAGATTTTTTTCTTGCTAGTGGAACATTCTGAGAGATAATCAAAAACTGGCTTTTGTTTTAACAACTCTTTTTATCAATTAAAGCATTTTCTAAGTGTTTAAGATTTTGAGACTCTCTTTATATACTTGAGTTGAATTCATCAGAAAATTTCAGATCCAGGATATTTTTATTTTGGATCTAGATAACTTTTTCCACACAACTCTGATGAGGGAGATCTGTTAACTCTTTTATGGAATTTAACAGAGTAATTGATTCCCTTCCATTTTTCTCCTACACAAAAACCAGAGACGTTCTATTAGCAATGTCTCTGCTTCCGCCGTAACTCAGTTGCCATGATTCATAGGACCACAATACAGCTGAGATTGTGGGAATACACTGATTTGAAAGACATTATAAGTATTTTTATAAGCATACAAATCTGTGAGAAAATCTCCATAAATCGCTTCTGTTCTTTGTTGTATTTTTATTTGCTGAAAGATATATTTTAAAACATGGAAGCACAGATATATTTTCTGAAAGGTTTGCATCTTCCAGGGATATAGCCCATCATTTTCCCATGTAATTGCTTCAATGCAACAAATTGTCATTTTTGTTTTGGATTGAATGACTCTTCTTGCTTCTCAAATGCTAATGTGTTACTATCATTATCATTGTTAGAAAGCAAATTAAATTTATATGTTAGACATCTCGTTTCAAGTTTTTGAACGATGCTTGTGGGCTACTGTAATTAGAGGAGAAAAACATAATTTTACTTAAATGTCTCTAAGATCCTGAGGACTGGAAGGTAATGAAGATCGTGAGTGGCAAAAACACCTTCGGAAAAAGACTAGATTCGTAAGGGTGTGGTAGATGGGACTTCGAGGCACATTCTTATTGCTATATGGGAAAGCATGCCCAGAATCTGCCCTCATTATGTCTGGCGCTTGCCAGTTCTTTTCAAACCTCAGTTTCATGAGCACCATAAAAATTCACTTAAAATCCAAAAGAACACCCTGAAGTTAAAATCTACTTCTGCTTTGCCTTGCCTTTCATGGCCTGGAATGTCACCTTTTACCTCCAGTAAATAAAGCCAACATCAACACTCTTCCATGTCTTTTATTTTTTATGCACTCAATATTCTTCACATGACAATCTGGACACTTAAAGGGAAATTACAGTAGTGATCTATGTCCCTGCAAAGAGAATTGTCTTTATAATATATAGTTACAATGTATCCATCATTTTCTTTTGTTCCTTGGACTGTTCACATTGGATTGAGTAAATCTAAAATGGAATTAAAAGAGACATGATTAATAGTGGACTACAAAGAAGTAATGATATCATAATACTTTCTTAAAATGACCTGGCATGCTGAGTAGCATTCCCCCACAGAGACAATTGCACCGTTTGACTGTCTTGCAGGGTATTGTCCCTTTAACCTCACTATTTCCGAGAAGCCACCAAAAAGTTCTAATATGTCACAATTCAAATGTCAACATGTTGTTGGAAAGGAAACTAATAAGTTAAACCTGTGAGAGATGCCAAAAAAAGAAGTGATTCAAACTGTTGAGAGAAGTCTATTGTTTTCTAAAGGGAAATACAACTGTAGAATGAAACAGGGTGCTTATAAGTATTTCTCTGAAGGTTTAGGGGGAAAAAAGTAAACTCATGCATTATGATTATTATTATTTTTTAATCGGGTAACTTTTTCAGCAGAACTGTTCCTCTCAGTGTCAAAGAAGGGAGAATGTGAAGATTAGGCTTTAGATGCAAACTGAAAACTTACTAATTTTTTTTTAATGGAAACAGCACAGAACAAGTAATAATTTTCCTGATAGTCTTGATTCTATATTTGGACATATAAAGAAACTCAGTTTAAACTATAATCTTTATTGCAACACTTTGTGTTTGGCCTTATTTTCTATAAACAAACTTCAGATGGTTAAACTCCTATTGAATGAAAAAAAATTAATTCATTTTGACAAGAAAGAAACTAAGCAGAAAATAGTCCTCATTGAGGTGTTTTTCAAATTTAGCACAATTTGGTGCTCTGGTCTTTTTATAGAAAAATAAACAATTGGGCTTTAGAGCCACCTACTGGAATAAAGAGGCACGTACTTACGTTTTATGTCCTCAGCTTTTCAAAAGATAAACAAATAGATAAATACAATCAGAGTATGAGCATTTCTATTGATTTCATAAGACATTAATTTATTCAGCTTTTCTCCATTTGAAATATCAACTGGTCCTGCAGGAAACCATAGTTAACTGTAGTGTCTTCTAAAAAGATAATTCTTCCTGTTTCTTCATAGGATGTACCATTTGTGTTATATGATTTTCCTTCTTGTTTTTGTTTGCTGGTTTTGGTGGTGGTTTTGTGTGTGTGTGTGTGTGTGTGTGTGTGTGCGTGCACGCGCACGTGTGTGTTCTGTAGATAGTTAGAATCTGAAACTGGGACTCTTTTTTTTTTTTGTTTTTGTCTTACCAAAGTTGGAATTTGTTTATGGACAACTTAGTAAGAAGATTAGGAGGAAAAAAAACTCTCACTGCTGATGTTGGTGAGAGAGAAGATATAAGGCAAATGAATAATCTCCTTCTCAAGAGTATTGTGGGATTTTTCAAAGATACCTTAGCAGAATGTACAAATAGTAGACTGTACAACTTCATTCTTTTTTATCTGGATATAGAATTGCTGCTTAATAAAAATTGTAGAATAAAATGGAAAAACTAAGACAGTTTTTAATGATAAAATGAATAAACATCTTAAAGATTTTCATGCTTAAATTGCTTTCGTAAATGGAAAAACCCTGGCGCCTGGATATACCCATTGGTCAATGACTTGCCTAAGTCACCAACCTGCTTGAGCAAAGGTAGGCAGCTCTTGGAAATTTCAGGTTTGGGTTCTTTCCACACTTGCCCCGCTGCTTTTCAGTCAGTCATTAACAGACTCATTAAATCTTTCCTTTTCTCTGCACTTTGCTAGAAAGCAGGGGGAATAAGCAGCACTGATAAATGAATCAATAAAGGCTAATGCCTGCTTTCCAAGAGTGGCAATCAGGAGCTGGGGCATGAGGGCAGGACCTAGGTATGGGAGTCCCCTTCTGGTTGGTGAGAGGGGCAGTCAGTGTCGAAAAGCAAGATGCTCTCCTTGGATTCTGTTCTCTAGAGACCTTGCTGATTCACCTTCAGAACACCTTGTTGAGAAGGGGCTGCTTTTGCTAACTTACTCAAGAGGGTAGTTGAAGGTTGGCCAGAATACTGCAGGATAATGTAAGACAGGACTTAGATCTGTTTATGTGTGCCTTGCTAGGTACTTTGAGGAATTCAGAGACAGAAAAACTCTTGGTTAAACATTACATAGGGTATATATGACACAGCAAGCCTCACATTGAGAAAATTTGATTTGTGAAGTAGGATTTGGAAAAGATATGTGAACTGGCTTGAAAGTTACAGCTTTCCAGTTGCAACCAGAGGGTTCATTTTCAGTATATAAAATAGAAAGTCACAATCCTTTTGGCAATAAATAAATAAATAAATAAATGGAATATGTTTATTAAGATATGAGAAAGTGTACAGATAACATAATGTATATCTTGCTCTTTGCTAATATGCTTGTCTCTGTCTGTCTTCCCCTTGTTCTATTTTGGTCTTGAAGATATTCTATAGAGTAGTCGCAGACATTGCGCCGGGAGAGGAGCTCCTGCTGTTCATGAAGAGCGAAGACTATCCCCATGACACTATGGCGCCCGATATCCATGGTCAGTACTACTCACAGCGCGGTCCCCAGAACCCTCATTTAGAGACTGTATCATACTTGGCATTTCTTTATTAGCTTCCCTGACCATTCAATGTCAGTTCTAACAAATTCATTCCCTCGGAGTGACTCTTAGATTGATGGCTTGCTGATATTAAACTCAACTAAGCAGAGGACTTCCCTGAAGTGCAGGTCAAGGGAATTTTAAATATTTGAATTTTAAATATTTGAAAGACATCCCCTTACACCTTTTGTCAGTGCCTTAGGCACTGTGAGAATCCTTCCACTGTTTAGGAGTCATTCCAGGGAGCCTGGCTGAGAGCTTATCTAAATCTAGCAGATGCTTCTCCCATCCATTGGCCCTATTATTGGGAAAAAATGTTCTTATGGGAGTAAAATTCGTATCATCATGACCCTATGGGTAGTATCTGTGGGAAGGACACTGAGAACAAAGTAGAGATGAGGACATTCTAAAGTCAGCAGAAGTTATACTTGCCAGGCCCTATTCTAAATCGAAAGAAGCTGTGGTGGGGGGAGGGTTGATCAAACAGAATAATAATTAGTACTCATGAATGTTTAGGTCAGATTAAGAGTTTTCTCTTTGTGTTCATCTTTAGCACTGAGGTGAAAATTTAATATTTTTCATTCTCTTTCCTATTAATTTTCCCTAAGATAATGTGATTGGTTCAACAGAATGTAGTGATGTCTTTAGAATATTTTGCTGGAAGCACCACTGGGAAGAGTTACCCATTGCAACCTACCAGAGAGGTCAGGATCATGCTACCCTCCATCCCTCCAGCATCCCAAAGGGGAGGGCCTCAGCTTTTGCCTCTGTACCTCTGTGAAGGCAACCTTTTTACCTCCAAAGGTTCCCCGCCTACCTCTGGCCAAACTATATTCTGCCTTTCAGGTTATGCGGATTGTATTTGGGGTGCCTTCTGGAATTCATTTCCCTCTTGGAAACTCTGACACAAGAATGGCTTTAGAAACCTAGAGTTCTCAGTCAGTCTGGAAAAGTTTGAGCCTGATGGGGAGGGGCGTCTGGCCCAATGGGAAATGTGTTTTGGCAGTATGTGTAGGGGATGCGCAGATGATTAAAACATGCAACCTGAAGTTATTCTGGTGAAAGGTATCACTCATCTGTAAATGTTAGATCTAAAACATTTTCAAATAGTTATTTTTGACATATCAGTGATTAGTTTACTGCTACAGAAAGGCCTAAGTAGAAGTGACTGTTCCTCTCTTAAGGTCACCATTCATAAATTGCCTTCCTTTAAAATATTCTGGAAACATAGGTTGCTTGTTTCCAGTGTATTATATCCCTATCCATTCATATGTCATTCATTTACATGTAAGGTTTATAATGTCTAAATGGTAATTTGTATTTTATATGTCTAGTATTTAATTTAGGAAAGACAAAAACAAAAATACATGTATTGCACACCTACTATGTGCTAAATATTATATGTTTTCCATATATTGTCTCATTTAATCTTGTACATAGAGGTAAAACCAGTGAGGAAGGAATTATATTCATTACATAGATGAAATGAACAAATGAAATGAGAAGCCCAGACAAAGGAAGTCTCAATAAATTGAGTAGTAACACCACATGGCTAGTAAGTGGCAGAGTCAACATTCAAAATAAAGTATTATCTGCCTCCACCATTGTTATTGGTTTAGTTTAAAGTAAGCCAGTATTTGGGATGGATTATAGCAGCGACGTCCCACTGGGCTTCTCTGTAGAGAAATTTCAGCTGGGAGAAATTCTTCCCAAAACCAAGTCTGAATATGTCCCCATTTCCCAACTTCCAAGGGCTTTCTCTTCTCTTCTCTTCTTGACGTGGACCTGAAAAGTCCCTGCTGACCTGCCACTCTCCCTAACTTCCTTTCCCTCTCCTCCCTGACGGACACCCTCTAAACCTGCCATACTTCACCATGGCCCTACCTGTCCATGAATGTGCCATGTTCTTTTCCTGGCTTCTTTGGTCTGTTCTAGGCCCACTGCCTGAAATGTCCCCTCTCATCCCACTTCAACTGGCTGGTACTTACTCACTATAAATCCTTTTCTGAACCACTTTCCCCCAGATTAGACAGATTGGGCATTTTTCTCAGTGTTCCCTTAGGCCTTATGCATGCCTCTGTCATAAAATATACCACAGTTCTTTGTCCACCTGTGTATCCCCTTGAGTTTCTTATTCATTAATTCCCTGGCAAAGTGTTTGACATTTGGTACGTGACTTAAATAGTTCCTCAAAAACACTTAGTCAATGAACAACTGAAGAGCCACATCTTCCTTGGCTGTAGGTCTACAAAACAGGCATTATGTGTCACATTGTTTGCCTTGGGTGTTTTTCAGCATCATGAACTGTTTTCAGAATGTCTTTGATTGTACTTGTGTGATCTCTGCAGACAGTGGCCTCCTGAGTGACCTCACAGATATAGAAATAGAGTAGAAACAATTCCATCCCTACCTGACACTTTGTAACCTCACTATCTCTAGTCTCAACTATTACTGTTTATTCACCTTATTCATTTAGAATGTAAATTCATGGTATGCTTGCTGTTTAATAAAGCTGTCACTTAGCACTGGCCGTGAAGTAACATAAATTATCCTAGAAGGGCACTAAGGACATCCTGTGCCCCATGTTGATCAGTGATGGGTGCCAAAGTACTGTCAAAGTCACTGATAGTAACAGGCACAAAATGTGGCTCAGGTAGGGCCTGGTGACCCCTGTGCCCTCCAAGTAACATAAAAAGCATTGGCCCAGAGAGGAGTGTATGGGGCAAGGATGTGTTCAAATTCTGACTGACTCCTTGGCTAAACACTTCCTGATTGATTACTTCACTTCTCTGAGCCTCAGTACCCTCATCTGAATATTGGGATAATAATTAGAATGACGAATTCTCATACTCAGGTTTTAAACAATATCTATAATCCATGTCCCAGCTTGAGAAAATAGGTGATGCTCAATAATTAGTAATTATTACTCTCAGTATCCTCTGAACTTAGAAAGGTTTAATCATAAAGTTTTATCTGATCAGGCATTATACTATAGCTCCAGTAATTATTTATGTTATTATTTCAGATTCTCTCTTGAGTTCTTTATATGTATAATTTCTAATCCATGTTAAAAAAGAAAGGGTCATGGTGAAAATGAAGTCACATAATTTCAATTATGGCTTGTGTAATTCAATCAGAGAGCTGGTTTGGGGAAGCAAATTCTAACCACCCAATTGTCGCAACATCTGAATTGTTTCCACAGAAGAACGGCAATATCGCTGTGAGGACTGTGACCAGCTCTTTGAATCCAAAGCGGAACTAGCAGATCACCAAAAGTTCCCATGCAGTACACCTCACTCAGCATTCTCCATGGTGGAAGAGGACTTTCAACAAAAACTCGAAAGTGAGAATGATCTCCGAGAGATACATACCATCCAGGAGTGTAAGGAATGTGACCAAGTTTTTCCTGATTTGCAAAGGTTAGAGATGGCATGCTGCACCTTAATACTTGTATATTTACTCTTCAATAAAATGTTATCCTGAATTTTGAGAGTTTATGCAGTTGGGAAATGTAGAACTACAGTGAACCAGACAGATATGCTAGCGTCAAACCATCCCCCCATCCCAACCCCGGTGGAAATTCTTATCTGTAAAATAAAGTTAGACTTAGTTATTTTGGTTTCAAATAGAAGCTAATGTTATATTGCTATTGTTATTATTATTATTATTATTATTATTATTATTATTATTATTATTATTATTTTGCAGTGCTAGGGATAGAACTCTGGGCCTCTCACATGCTAGACAAGTACTCCACCAATAAGCTATATTCCCTAACCCCTAAATTACTATTTAAGTAATGTTATTGAGAACTGAAGCTAACTTTACAGGAATAATGACATAGAGAAAAAAAAATCAAGAGTGCTGAGAAAAAAAATAATGCTAATTAGTCCTTTGCCAGGAAGCAATAAAGCTACCTGCAGAAACGTTTAATGATGTTTTTAAAACGAAGACTGGATCTAGTACTCACTTAAAAAACAGGTTCTTTTGATAGTGCAGTGCAACTCATGGTTTTGATTTGAACTATTATCTAAACTACACATATATAAAAGAATGAAAGAACAATGTTTAGTTTTCTAGTACATTTCCTAAAAAGAAAAAAAAGGAATATAATGATCTAAATGAAGTAATTAATTCTTATTTTTAACAAAATTAAATTCATTATTTCAGTGATTCATTAATTTTTTATAACCCTTTGAACATTTAAAATTTCTATTGAAGAAAACAACACCTCTGGAACCTACTCTTTTTTTTATTTTTATTTTTTAATTTTTTATTGTTGGTTGTTCAAAACATTACATAGTTCTTGATATATCATATTTCACACTTTGATTCAAGTGGGTTATGAACTCCCATTTTTACCCCGTATACAGATTGCAGAATCACATCAGTTACACATCCATTGATTTACATGTTGCAATACTAGTGTCTGTTGTATTCTGCTGCCTTTCCTATCCTCTACTATCCCCCCTCCCCTCCCCTCCCCTCCCCTCTTCTCTCTCTACCCCCTCTACTGTCATTCATTTCTCCCCCTTGTATTATTTTTCCCTTTCCCCTCACTTCCTCTTGTGTGTAATTTTGTATAACCCTGAGGGTCTCCTTCCATTTCCATGCAATTTCCCTTCTCTTTCCCTTTCCCTCCCACCTCTCATCCCTGTTTAATGTTAATCTTCTTCTCATGCTCTTCGTCCCTACTCTGTTCTTAGTTACTCTCCTTATATCAAAGAAGACATTTGGCATTTGTTTTTTAGGGATTGGCTAGCTTCACTTAGCATAATCTGCTCTAATGCCATCCATTTCCCTGCAAATTCTATGATTTTGTCATTTTTTAATGCAGAGTAATACTCCATTGTGTATAAATGCCACATTTTTTTTTATCCATTCGTCTATTGAAGGGCATCTAGGTTGGTGGAACCTACTCTTTGAAAACTATATTGATAATTATGCTACAAAATGCTCCTTTAAAATCAGAAAAGTAAATAAACTGTTAATGGGTCTTTTATTTGTTTGTTCCTTCCCTAATGGATTTTTCCTTGGTCCACAAACAATTTTAATAATTACATTCATTACTTTGCTTTTAAATTTGGAAATGATCATTGGAAAGTATAATTAGAATTTAAAGTGAGTGTAACACAGTATTTCAGTGGGAATGGCCCTGTATCAATTGGCCTTGCTGGAGAAGGTGAATAGCTCAGAGTTGGTCTTTGACACAACACCTGTTTCAGTGCACCATTTCATTTCCCTTCCTTCTCAGTGGCTCCTTTCCCGCCTTCTCTTTTTTCACCTCCATTTATTGCTCTGGGTCCTCTTCTTCTAGTTAGGTCTCTTTTAGGAAAGGATTTTATGTAGTCACAATTTAAGTTATAAATGACCATTAAGACATTAAGTATAACCTCTTCCTGGAGGAGACTGAGTCAAATTCACACATCTCTGACTTTGCAAATTCAGGAGTAATTTAGCTATTGGAGAGAGCTTTCCTGATATGCTTTAAATTTATCTCTACTGCTTTATGTCAATCTGCATAGAGAATAAATCTGTTACAAATGTTTGGTAAAAAGTGGATTTCTGTTAAAAAGACATCACAGAATGTCCCCCAGATAGACTCACATCCAAATAAAAAATACAAAATGAAACTAGTAAATACCATGAGCAGGGGAAGTATTGATACTGAAAAGTAGCATCTTTGGTATCAGTATTTTTTTCTTTTAGTTTTATCATAGAAAATAATGAAAAGTATTATAAAGTAAAAATTGACAGACTAAACAGTAACTCTACTTGGAAAACAGTAACTCTTATCATGGAAAGTGTATACAACACTTCTTGGGTGGAGAAAGCTTCTTAATCTACTAACTGTACAACTAAGCTTGAGTCAACTCTACATAGTGCCAAATCCAACTGCCAGTTCAGTTGATTCAGTCAAACATTCAGGGGAAAAAAATAAGTGAACCCAGAAAACTTACCTTTCCTGCTAAAGTGTTTCACTATAGACCTAAATGTCCGTCTTTCAGGTGGCATGTTTTGGTTATGAATTATGTTCTGTAGCCACGTGCAGAACTTCCATTCTCTGAACATTTTCCACTTTATTGAATGTTATATTGTTGCTTTACATTTTCAACAAGTGGAAATTCCTTTCTTGACATGACACATTCTTCTGTTTTGTATATTCTATCTAAAATCCTGAGGAAAGAATGCAAAAAAAAGAGCAAGAAAGAAGCAAAGATTAATATACAAAAGTAAAGAACCCAGAAAGCTGAGCAAAGCTCTATAAGTTGATATTAAATTGGATGACAAGTGGAGATGTTTCTCTAATGCCTGACTGAATTGCTTCTATGTTTATGAAAACAATGTGCATTTGCTTTTGTGAGAAGAACTTTTTTTAAAATCACTAATTAGCCAATAGTTGATAATTCTGTGGAACAATATGGATTTTATTCTAGGTTAAGAGAAGCAAAGAAAGAATATTTTCTCTTGCTTTGCTATCTCACTCCTGCTCCTTGAGTGCCATATTCTCATTCTTTCTTTCTTTTTCTTTTTGGTACTGGGGATTGAAATTAGGGGTGCTTTACCACTGAGCTACATTCCCAATCCTTTAAATTTTTTTTCTTTATTTTGAGACAGTCTTACTAAGTTGCTGAAGCCAGCCTCAAACTTGTGATTCTCCTATTTTAACCTCGTAAGTCACTGGGATTACAGGCATGCGCCACCATTCTTAGCTCATAATATACCCGTAAAACTAAACCTTGTCCTTGGAGTTAGGGGAAGAAATAAGGCTCAAATAGGTCCATCTTTTGCCACTAGATTTCCAGGCTTATGATTTACCATACAGCATATTGAAATATATATTATAATATGGCTTGTCTTCTTGGATTACTGAAGATAGACAGTGAGAATTGCAATATGTACAATGAGTTTGGAGGGTATCCCTGACTTAGTTCAGTGTTAACTGCAGTTATGGATATCTCTCTTAACTCCTTTATTAACATTTCCACTTCTGTACCAAACAGAGGATTACATATTATAGATAAAGATAGGGCTTCTTATGACTCCCCACACCTGTTCTTTCCTGGTACTTTGTGTTCACAGAGATATCTCCACTTGTGCTCAAATAGAATAGCATTCCCAACTTGACTGACTCATGCAGCACACAAAGAAGTTCATGTGCCAGTATGAATAGAATTTTAGGGAGGAAGCTGAGGCAGAGAATTAGTGTGAGAAAGGTACTTCTAATTGCCAAGATATGAGAGCATGCACTTCATTTTCTTACACACAGAAACACAAAGGAACATATTCTTGGTGCGCAAAGGTCTTAACTGATATTCAAATTAGAGTATACATTTCGTAGAGAAATAAAATGATCAGAGCATAATGCATTCCACTATTATATTTAGTTGTAATTCACCAATTAAAAATTAAAAAAGAAAAGAAGACGTAAGAAAATTTAAAAACCATGGAAGACAATAATTTGTGTATATTTGATAGTTGTGTTCTTTTTTAGTAACTTTTTATTATGGAATGTTACAAATCTACACAAAATTAGAGAGGATAGCACTTTCAAAAACCAATATGTTCAGGGGCTGGGATTTTGGCTCAGTGGTAGAGTGCCTGCCTAGCATATCCGAGGCACTGGGTTCAATTCTCAGCATCACATACAAATAAATAAATAAAATAAAAAAAATTTATCAACAACTAATAAAAAAATATGTATTTTTTTTAAATATATTTTTTTAAAAAACCAGTATGTTCAGCTTCAATAATTACCACACAAGGACAATCTTGTTGCATCTATACCTGTTTTGGATTGTTTGAAACAAATCCCAGACATTGTATCATTTTATTCCTAAGTAGTTCAGTATGTGTCTTTAGAAAGTAAGAACACTTTTAAAGCATTAGTCAATACTACATTATAAAAACTGATTTAACATTATCAAATATTCAATTGGAGTTCAAATTCTCCCAGTAATCACATAACTTCAAAAATTAAGATCAAAATAAGGTCTATATAGAGCAATTGATTGACAAACTTCTGATAGCTATTTGTTCCTGTTGTCAAATTCTCTCTCTCTCTCTCTCTCTCTCTCTCTCTCTCTCTCTCTCTCTCTCTCTCGTTGTAATTTATTTATCAAATACTACTGAGGGGTTTTCCCCCCGTAGTATTTCCTCCAGTCTAGATTCCCTGTAGAAATTGTATTTCACATCTTTTCCCATTCCCTTTCTTTCCTGTGAGCTTCTAGTTACATCCCAAGTCTTAACTGGGATTTAGGTTCAATGTTTTAGCAAGAATACTTCATCCACGATGTCGTCAACTTCCATCACATGTAACGGATTGCCTAGATTCATTAACTTTTTAGTGGCAACAGAATGGATGTATTCTAATTCTATCAGTCTTTTGTCATTTGTTATAAGGATTAATTTATGTAGAGAAATTGTTCCTCATTCTCTATTTGGTCAACCTAAAGTACAGTTCATATAGGGAAAGCAAGATATGCATGAGTTTTCCCCTTATTTACCAGTTTCAGAATAATGATTGGCTGTATAGCATCCTCCAATGGTAACTGGTAGGTTCTGTTTGTATGTTTTGAAGATTATTATTATTGAAAGGTATATTATTATTAATGCTTTAATTGTCTCACCTTTGCTCAGTGGACAACTTTCTAACTTAGTACCTAATTCTTTGAGCATCATCTATAATTTTCTCTTCTTCTTCTTTATTTTTTATTATTGTTATATTTTTGCTTTTGATAAACAACATGTTAAAAATGCATCTTGTGTATTTTATTAGATTTGAAATTGGCCATTTCTCCAAGGAGCTCTTGTTACTGTACTTTGGAGTGGTACACTACCATGTTATATGTGTATGTATTTAATCAACAAAAGATGCAGACATCTCACTATCAGAATTATCTGTTATCTGTACTTTTTTCTTTATTATTCTTGAAGATTTCAAATGAAATAATAGAAAGGGGAGAGAAAGATTTGAAGAGAACAATCTAAACTTTAAAACAGATAAACTCTTCTTGTGAGAAACTTCTATTTTTTTCTTTTGTCTATATCTATATACATATGTATCTGTACACACACACACACACACACATACACACATATATATCTCTGTCCATTTGTCCAATCGTCTGTATCCATCCCAGGGCCATGTTGGAAAGTTGCTTGTTGAATAGTTAGCTTGTTGTCTTTTTCACATTGTGACATCAATAGAAATAAACATACTCTTTCCATGTAGAGATTACACATATTGGAATACTTGACTATATGCTTTTAAGCACTTTCTTCACATTTTTTGTTGGAGAGTTTGCATTGAATGGAGCAGATATTAGCAATATGTATTGCTGTTGGAATTGTGTACTGAATCCAGAACTGAACAAATAGCTCATTGTTTATCAGGCTCCTAAATTGGCAGATCATCCCTCCTGGTTGTATTACAGGGTCACTTCTCTTTTGGTGGGAGACACAGTCCAGGAAGCATGAAATGTACTTTTGTCTACCACAAGCCTGTTTCTTCTTTTTCTTTTTTCTCACCTCTACTTCTTTTCCTTCTCAAATCTTTCATTGTAAGATTAGTAATAAAATAACATTCTGTTTATGAAAGTGTTCTTTGTCATCAAGTTTATTAAATCAGTTGTTCTCTTAACAGCTTGGAGAAACACATGTTGTCACATACTGAAGAGAGGGAATACAAGTGTGATCAGTGTCCCAAGGCATTTAACTGGAAGTCCAATTTAATTCGCCACCAGATGTCACATGACAGTGGAAAGCACTATGAATGTGAAAACTGTGCCAAGGTACAGTGAATTTGTAGGCTACTTGGTCTCTCTCTGTCATCCTTCTCTCTCTTAATCCATCACTTGCTACGATATATGAAAACAAGCCTTGAGAGGGGAAACTATAAATATCTTGAGAAAAGTAGGCTGAGTGTTGTATGCTAAAAGGCATTACTAGAGTGTATAAAAACACTTAGTGGGTATCCTTTTATTTTTGTAAGGGAGGAAGTGAGGCTTAATGGTGAGTTCCAGAACTAGGTGTCAGACATCCTTGGTAAATTCCTGGTTCCGCTACTGACTTGCCAGTGTGGGGTTGTTTTATAGCCTTATGGGGAATGAAAATTTTATCCAATGCACATTACCAACTTTTCTTAATAGCAATTTGTGCGGAAGTCACATAAAGTTTCTGAATGCCCATTCAGAAAGAATGGGAGACTCCTACATTTGCAGATTTTTTTCCACCCAAGTCCTCACTGTAAATCATGACTTGGTTCTAATTAAAAGGAATAGAGCCTCTGCCTTAGTGGCCAGTGCTGAACAACATATGGGCACAATGAAAGTATTCCACTTAGACCTTAACTCTGGACTGTAGGAACAGTAACTTATAACTTTTGATTCCCATATGTTTTAATTAACTAAAAGATTTCTCCAATAACTTCTTATAGAATTTGAAGACCTCTTCTCGTGATAGTGGAAATTGTAATATTCCAAATTTCTTTAAAGATGTTTTTTTTACTCGTGGTATGTGTTGGCTGACTTTTAAAATTTATTTTTTAGTACAATGTCCAAAGGAATTGTTTAAGTTTGCTGGTAACTTAGTGAAACACAGTGTTGGAATTTAATTTACTAGGGAAACTGTCTAAATATATTTGGGTACTTTAGTCAAAATTCCCCAAAACTTATACATAATGTCTTTAGTAAGAGAGTAGAAGTAGCATATCAGTTTTAATAATGGTCTGACCAGCATTTTGTTGTTTAATTCCAGTTGCTGTAAATGGGGTCAAAAAGGTCCTGCATGTGACCTAACGATGCCATTCGTTATTTTGTTCTGTAACTGACACCAGTGGGTATCCTAAGCTAAGGACTTAGAACTGAATCATTTTCAGTTCTTATCCTAAAGGAAGTTACACTTTAGAAAAAAGTGTCTTGCTTTTAGTCTTTGGGGTAAATGAATAAAACAAAGTAAAGCAAATTCCTTCTTGAGTCATCCCTGGTCTTCTTTATTGTGTCCTTGAATTAAATTTCTTGATTAATCAGTACTCATTTCCTAGCAGGTTTTCACGGACCCTAGCAACCTTCAGCGGCACATTCGCTCTCAGCACGTTGGTGCCCGGGCCCACGCTTGCCCGGAGTGTGGCAAAACGTTTGCCACTTCATCAGGCCTCAAACAGCACAAGCACATCCACAGCAGTGTGAAGCCCTTTATCTGTAAGTCTTTAACACTCCAGCCCTCCTTCCTGCATCTGTCTCTCCTCCAAAAGGCACTGCGATCTGCAGAATGGCCACACATGGCCATTAGGGGAATCACCGTAATAGCTCTTTATGGTCCAATCCAGTAGGGCTATTTTCTATTACAAGAAAATCTTTTATAACCAGATCCATGGTATTTTGTCTATGATCCCTGGGGTGTTTTCTTTTAGATGAAATCAATAACAGGTAGAGAAAAGAGAAGTCGTTAAATAATGAAAGGGAAGCCTCCCCGGGTTGTAGGATTTAATGGAGACAACCAGATTTGCCTCACACTGTAAATGTTCATGGCTTTGTAAAACAGCAAATAGCAGATATCACTGAACAAGATGAAGTGATTAAAAACCTGTTCTGGATCAGAAAGAGCTGGAAGAACCCCATCTGGCAAGTAGGCTTACAACTCTGTCTGTATGTGTCTGTGTGGATGCTTGGGAGAGAGAGGAATAAAATGTCCTTTAATCTGCCTATTGTTGCTGCTCTCAGGCCAGGGACCAGGTAGTACTGTTCCTTGAAGAAACAGAAAATTTTCACTTTGATGCTGAACATGCTGCTTCTCTTACCTACTGCACTAAAGCAAATTTATAGGCAGCATGCTTTCAGGGGACATCCAATCTGGCCACCTACTTAGAATATCCCTGGACAGGGCACTTGAGTAACACATTTCAAGTAAAGTTAAACTCAGCCCTCATTTGCTGCTTCTTTGGTCCACCCACTCCTCTGTATTTTACTGAAATATTTTATAAGGAAAATCAGTTGTTAGTCCATCTGGGCAACAACTCTGAGCTTCTTTTATTCCCTTGCATGGCTGGGCATATAAATCCAGTGACTCACTGATTTGTGCTGCAAAACTACAAAACTGACTTTGGATCCAGATACGCACAGAATTGGTGGAAGCAGACTCAACACTTGGCAAAACCTCTGACTTGGGAACCCCTTGAAAAACAGTTTTTCTGACAAATACCTGTTGGATGGTGGTAGGAACAGGTATATGAGACAATTCTATAAGACGTGATAGAAAAAACTAATTTTCAGTGCCAACATGGAGGCGCCGGAGGCGAACTCTCCATTTCTTGCCTTGACACAGCTTTCTTTTGTGCTTCCAAGCACCAAGAGAGCTTTTCATTCCTTTCCAGCTTACACCAGAGTCCTGTTTTGCTCAGATGTTCTGTTCTCTGGGTGGAGCGAAGTGGACTCATAGATAAACAAAAGGGTGCTCTAGTGTCCCCTGGGGAAGCTCTGTTGAAAGCCATGGGAAACCAAGTGTACAATAGAAATTTTAGACGACTTGTCTCAAAAAGGCATTCGTGACTCTAGGCCATGATGCCCTGAAAACATACTAGGAAGGGCTACAGACATGCAATATCATCGATTTTGTTTATTTCTGAATTCTCAAATAAAATGTTTTGTAAGTTTTATTAGGTACAATATTAGAGAATTCATGTATTTCTGGCTTGTAAATTTTACTATGTTTCTGTGAAAGAAAGAGAGAAAGCAACCACAAATAATTCTCATCACCCACTTAGTGTTTTTCTCTGTAATTTAAAGTAAAAGCCAGAAAATGTGGACTTCTATCATCTGAGACTCTGGGATCTACAATTTTAATTGTGCTGAAGTCAAGGGTTTCACTTTAAAGCACCCTAGGTTGCCCCTTTCCAATCAGATCACATGAAGTATTTCCCATGAATGCATTTTCAGTAATTATTGGTAAATTTAAACAGCAGATGGCATTCTTCAAATATAAAATCTGACAGAGAACCATGGAGTAATTATGAATAATAGCCGTGTAATTTCAGAACAAAAGGGTTTAAGGATCAGGAGTTGGTGTGGAGACTGGAGTGGAGGAGGTTCACCTAGGGCTGATATCTGTTTCTCACCAGAAGGCCACACACCAAGATTCACCCCCACTGGTGTGTTTATGGCAACTGTCTCTTATTACAGTGTGCCGCTGAGCCTCAGCCCAGGCTCACCAGTGCTAAGGTAATTACTCACTGCCTTTACAGGAACCTCCAGCCTTCCCAAATAGAAACCACATGCTCTAATAGGCTGGATATATTCAAAATGCCTCTTAATTTGTTTAATAAGTAGAAAAATGCAATGTTAACTGCTGGCTAATTCCTTATTATTGAGAAAATTACAGTAGAGTATAGACTTCAGCATCAATTGAACCAGTTTACCTGGAGGGCTGGTGGCTGGTGACATCCCAGGCCAAGGCTTCAAAAGCTGGAAACAAAGCCTAAGGAAATAGCCTGGAGTCTATGTTCTTGAGAATAGAAACCAGTGCTACTCATTATGTAACACGGGGTACATCCAGGCAAGTCAGGTGCACCCTCTGTTACCCCCAGTACAAAGGAGTTCTTGGTTTTCTAAAGACCATCCAGATGAAAGAAGAGTAGAGAGCAACATTTTTTCCCCCTCAGAGTTGCCAGCCTTTAAAAAAACTTAGACCTTGGTTGAATACCCATCACCCATCAGGATGTTTTCCCACTGCCTTTTGATGTCCAGAGGAGAAACTACTTTCTTGATGAATGTGTTTTTAGAATTCTAACAATATTTTATTGTTGATTTTTTGTTTAACTCATGGCAGAATTAGTATATCTAGTGAAAATCTGATGTTGCCACCCTCACCATGGTATGATTTTAATTAATGTATCAAATAATCTGAATAGAATACATACTTATGGTACATTGTTGACATTTAAAACAGACTCTGGTCAATATGTTCTGGTAGAATGATTTGAAAAGAAGTCACCCACATCTTCTTTTGCTGTTAAAATGCATGTTATAGCCTCTACAATGTTATGAACCATCCCATTAGTTGAAGGTGCCTTTAGTATTACCAAGCACGTTGACATACATTGTAGCAATGCAGTTGAATGTTAAATGGTAAAAGAAATAGATCTGCAATCACCTGGCACTTCCTGTTTGTATGTGTGTGGGATAATCCAAGTTCTGGGAGGATTTTTACTTGACTAAGGTCTATAAAATCTCCTTTGCATGATTTTTTTTTAAAAATTATGATTGATTTGATTTAGAAGTGCAACCATCCTGCCATTCTGCCCTGCAAACAGCCATCACAGGAAAGCAATAACTGTGAATTTTGCATTAAATTTAATTTCTTAAAATTAATGTGTTTTAACAATTACCAGAAAGGCATATCATATTGCTGGAGGTATTAGACACGTATGGAAGTCCTGAAGTGAGCTCACATCTAAAGTAACTCATCCCTGGGAAAGTTAAATAAAAAATGCTTAGGCAATCGATAGAATCCTGCTGACTATGATATGAACAGGAAGGATTCTCACCTCGAAGGGTTACAGAATATGGTCTTAATATATATTTAGGTATGTTGGCACATATGTGAGCAGGGAGATATTCTACTCTATTGGCAAATTCTTGGGGAAGGGGATTATTTCACAGCCATATCCACTGCTGTGTCCTTTCTGGATAAGAGTGTTCACAGCATTCTCCCTGGCTTACCATAGTTGGCTATAATACACAGAAGTCGCGCCCCGAGATAACCAAGGAAGATATGACAACAAGTGGACATGTTTCCCAAGGACAGAGGTTTCATAAATGCAGGAAGGTTAGCACAACCACTGGTGTGAGGGGAAGTCAGAGGACGTGATCATAGTTCATGGGAACCAGCAATGCAGGATGGGCTACATTCAATGTAGTTTCCTTTGCAGGCTTAAAATAGAGCCATTGTAAATTATGTCAGTCTTTCTCGAATCATGAAAATGATTGTTAAAAAAAGTCTCAGAATACACAATGTGCATTGTTGTGTGGCTTTGATGTGTGAATGATGAGAGCATATGATATAATACCAATTAAATAATGGTCAAGCAGGCCCAGGCTTTACTCCCCAGGGGAAAGGTAATAAAGGGGAAAGGCTACTTCATTTTGTTTTTGTGTCTTCAATATAGGATTCTTTACGTGATCTAAAATTTTGAAGGTGTTCCTGTTACATTTTGTACTTGATACATCTTAAGATTTTGATTTTTAAGATTCTGCTAGTATAGTAATGGGGTGGGGGAGCAATGCATGCTGGAATTTGAATTTTCCATAAATATTTAAGTATACAAATATGCTAAATATTGTGCAAGGGGGAATGACAAAATATTGATTATATGTGTATGAAATTTTGTGCTGCCTCAAGACATTTGTCAGGTTGGATGCCTTGCTTTGGAATCTAGTGAAATGGGGGGTTTCTGTGTTTGGAGCACCTAGCTCGGTGCCTCCAACTTCTTTCCATGGCTTTCTAGTTGAAATTATTTGGGGTAAACCAATTGTGATACTTGCTAAATTCAGAAGCAATTGCCATAAAGCCTGAGATTCTTTTTTGTTGTTTGCACACAGGTGAGGTCTGCCATAAATCCTATACTCAGTTTTCAAACCTTTGTCGTCATAAGCGCATGCATGCTGATTGCAGAACCCAAATCAAGTGCAAAGACTGTGGACAAATGTTCAGCACTACGTCTTCCTTAAATAAACACAGGAGGTTTTGTGAGGGCAAGAACCATTTTGCGGCAGGTGGATTTTTTGGCCAAGGCATTTCACTTCCTGGAACCCCAGCTATGGATAAAACGTCCATGGTTAATATGAGTCATGCCAACCCGGGCCTTGCTGACTATTTTGGCGCCAATAGGCATCCTGCTGGTCTTACCTTTCCAACAGCTCCTGGATTTTCTTTTAGCTTCCCTGGTCTGTTTCCTTCCGGCTTGTACCACAGGCCTCCTTTGATACCTGCTAGTTCTCCTGTTAAAGGACTATCAAGTACTGAACAGACAAACAAAAGTCAAAGTCCCCTCATGACACATCCTCAGATACTGCCAGCTACACAAGATATTTTGAAGGCACTATCTAAACACCCACCTATAGGGGACAATAAGCCAGTGGAGCTCCAGCCCGAGAGGTCCTCTGAAGAGAGGCCCCTTGAGAAAATCAGTGACCAGTCAGAGAGTAGTGACCTTGATGATGTCAGTACACCAAGTGGCAGTGACCTGGAAACAACCTCGGGCTCTGATCTGGAAAGTGACATTGAAAGTGATAAAGAGAAATTTAAAGAAAATGGTAAAATGTTCAAAGACAAAGTAAGCCCTCTTCAGAATCTGGCTTCAATAAATAATAAGAAAGAATACAGCAATCATTCCATTTTCTCACCATCTTTAGAGGAGCAGACTGCGGTGTCAGGAGCTGTGAATGATTCTATAAAAGCTATTGCTTCTATTGCTGAAAAATACTTTGGTTCAACAGGACTGGTGGGGCTGCAAGACAAAAAAGTTGGAGCTTTACCTTACCCTTCCATGTTTCCCCTCCCATTTTTTCCAGCATTCTCTCAATCAATGTACCCATTTCCTGATAGAGACTTGAGATCGTTACCTTTGAAAATGGAACCCCAATCACCAAGTGAAGTAAAGAAACTGCAGAAAGGAAGCTCTGAGTCCCCCTTTGATCTCACCACTAAGCGAAAGGATGAGAAGCCCTTGACTCCAGTCCCCTCCAAACCCCCAGCAACTTCTGCTGCAAGCCAAGACCAGCCCCTGGATCTAAGCATGGGCAGTAGGAGTAGAGCCAGTGGGACAAAGCTGACTGAGCCTCGAAAAAACCATGTGTTTGGGGAGAAGAAAGGAAGTAACGTGGAAGCAAGACCAGCTTCAGATGGTTCCCTGCAGCATGCCAGACCCACCCCCTTCTTTATGGACCCTATTTACAGGTAAGGGTGGTAGGAGGTGATGAAATATGAACAGATGTAATGAAAGGTAGATTTTTATATATAAAGTCACATCCTTTAAAAATCAATTCTTCCTATTATTCCTATTATTCAACAGAGTGAAATTGTTGTTTGATCTAGTGAATTCCATTTCCTATTGAGAAAGTTGACTCATTAGGTTTGGACTTATTTTTGGATGTCTCTGAAGTTGGGGGTTTGGAATAGGCCCACAGGACTTTTTTCCCTTGACAATAAATTTATTTTTAAACACATTTTTTTTTGGAGTGGAAAATATGGGAAAGTCATATTTAAAGCAAATTGTCAAGTGGCGGAAGAATGAGCCTCCTGAAGGATTAATGCAAATATGTGTGGGCACTTAAAATGGGTCAGGTTATGTAGAATAAGAAGAGACCTATTACCGCAAGTCTACTCTCCATTAACCTACCAACACATCCTTAAAAAGGCTGGTCATATACTGCTTCTAAATAAACCTCTTAGAAACCATAAGTAAATGAAATATTAATCACAAGAAGTTCTGCATGTAAGTGTGAGTGGTGTGCCTAAAAATTATATCTGTATTTGATGCCTTCATTATCCACTTTTCTTTGATGCATCCACAAATTCTCTGGGTGAAACATGTTTAATAAAAGGCTTCTTAGATAGCTCCCTGTAACACTCACTTGACCTTCAATGTGATTTAGTTTTTAAACACTAGTTTTCTTTACATGGTATGAATAATAGTAATATGTTCATTGTATCTTTTAAACATCACAAGTATTTTCAATTTACTTTCTCCTTCAAATTTTGGACATTATTAAGACTTCATGGATAATTTTTATTGAACTTATTTAAGATGAGAGCATTTTTATATTTGCCTGATATTTTATGAAGATATTTGGGGCCATTGTTTTATTCAACAATACTTATGGACATTCCATAACATAGTAGGCACTAAAACTACAAATTTTTTTTATCATTTAAAATATTCTTCTACCTATATTATCTAAAATGCATTGTCAAAAAAACACTGCCAGTGTTTAAAGGGTCACCCTCATCTCAACAGGACAAAAGGAACAAAAAAGGACAACACAAAAATATATTGATGCTACAACTACCTTATTTAAGTATATTTTTTGCAATTATTATTTCTTAATTCTGTGTCAGTCCCATCACTAGCAAAGGGGAAAAAAAAAGAAAAAAACAAATCTTCCATATTTTGTTTATAGATTGTATGTTACACATTTTCAGTAAGGTCATATTTCCAATTCAGTTGGGCATCTCGGTACTTTCTTAAGATAATTTCTCAGACTTTGTTTCTCATACCCTCCCATTTGCAATGAGCATGCAATTTACTCCACATATCCACTGGACCTACCTCCACTACCTCCTAACCTTCCTCTTCTTCTAGTCGACATTTTCTCTCTGGTGTTTCAGATGTCAAGAAAGACCTAACCCTTATTTTTAGTGTTAGGCCTGGGGTGAATCTCAGCCTTCTCATGACCTAGACTTTTTCCTTTCACCCATAAATGGGTATAATATTACCTGCTGCAATAAGTGAATAGTATATTGCAACACATAGTGTGTACAAAATATCCAGAACTGGTAACTATTTTATTTGTGTCAACTCTATTTTAAAGTGTACTCATTCAACAGTGTTTAAAAGAAAATTACCAAAAGAAATTAACTCAATTCATGATATCATTTCTTTATATGCTTAACTGAAAATAGAATGACAAGCCTTTCTAAAGCAGAAGGGACATATAGGTAAGTTTTCTATATATGTTCAAATAGTTCCTCGTTCTTTTCTCACAATCTGGCTTCCCACCTGCCCTGTTTATTAGCAGTGGCATCAAGAGAGTGACTCCCCATACACCCCCGTCTCTAATTTGATCATGTATCAGGTATCCTCTGGTTATACCTCAAAGAGTGGCTAGCAGAGTATAGTATGCTTGGGAAATCCCTTGATATTACTGGTAGATTTGAAAAAAAAAAAACAACATAGTAAATATTTGGGCAAACACATTCTTCGCAGAAAATGTCTTTAATTTTCAAAATTAGCCCTGTTTTCATGACCTCAAAATCACCAACCATTCTTATCTTGATTTGAAATGGAAAGGTACTAAATTTGTGATGGATGCCTCTAATTTAGTGACTGCTCATTTTTCATGTTTCCTTATAATTATTATTAGGCATTGAGTAGGATTTTTCCATTATAAATAGGACTTTCTCTCTTTTAAGAAGTGACTTAAATATTCTTCAAGAAGGGAATGGATGTCTTTATATTTTTATTAGTGTGTGTCTCAGGAACCTACAATTTGCTTTGCTGTTTTAAATGTCGTGTAGTGATTGATATGTGAGACTGATTCATCTCCAAAATCTAATTTTAACCTTTCAGAGTAGAGAAAAGAAAGCTAACCGACCCACTTGAGGCTTTAAAAGAGAAATACTTGAGACCTTCTCCTGGATTCTTGTTTCATCCACAAGTAAGTATTTTGAATTTGAGATTTCAAGCTTGTAAACTAACTTGTTGATCCTGAAAAGCAGGTGCAATGAAATGAAAGAAATCTTGAGAACACTAGGATTTCCTATGACGCTGCTGTGGAAGAACACAGGAAATTCTAGTGGAATTAAAACCTAAGCTCCTTAAAGAAAAAGTCATTAATATATGTGTAAAGATAACATGGTTTTAGTGTTAAATTATTGTCTGTTGTTAACTGCTTATTGAGCCAAAGTGCATTTTGGAGTAAGCAGAAGTCAGTTAAGGAAATAAATATTGAAGTTGTCTTTTGTGTTTAAGGTTGCTGATAATAAGATACTGTGACTCGTCCCAAACTCATGAAGGTCATTCTTGTTCTTTTAGTGCTTAGATAAAAACAGGAAATGAGTCTACCTGATGAGTTGTTACCATAGAGGGCGAAGGAATTTATCTAGAGACCATTGGGCATTCCAGTAAAGTTCTGTAATTGCACAAGAATTCACCACAATACCCAGAGCTATTTGCTGAATGGGGTCGTGCTCATTTATCAAAATATATACAGTTTCTCATTACAAGGAAAACATAAAATGCTATTATCTGATGGGTTCATCTCTATGTCCCTACCCATTTGGTTATTTTTTGAAAACTGGTTTACTTATCAATCCACATCTGGAGAATTGTATTGAAAGACCAAATATGTAAACATCTTGAATCTAATTCCCTGATTTATGTTTTATTTTATTTTGTTTTGTTTAAAGGATATAAGTTCTGGACTTTATTGATAGAAAAATTTTTATGAAAATGTCTCAAAACAGAGTAAATTCGTTTTGTTGGAATATGCTCAAACCAAAAATGATGGTATTTTAATAAAATGGGTGAAAATTTATGTAAAGATCCTTATAGAAAATTATGAGGTAATTAATTCATCTGGGGATATGATTCTTTTTTTTTTCCTCCTCTCTCTTCTTCACTTTTTCATGTATCCTTTCAAAATCATGAACAAGAGCATTAGAGCTGAAATACCATCTCCTGGGATGGTTGGAGAAATTCATTATTGCTCAAAAATACTCACTCTAATTTAACTGAGAAAATACAGAATTTAGTATAAAAATTTCATAAATATTCCAGTTAGTATTAACTTGATAAAGAAAGGCTAAGACTAAGGTAACATCATTTATATATTTATGTTATGAAAAATGGTAAATGTTTATCAGTAAATATTTTATACTTAGGCTGGTCTAAATAACACTTGAAAACTTTTGTGGGTGGTAATCCTCAATACGTATTTTGTATCAGATTTTGTATAAAAAGTACATCTCTCTTCATAACTTCCTAAGTATGAGTAAATGTATTTATGAGGATATAATATGCATTTGATATAATAATACATTTAATTACAATAACCAGTCTGATTATCATAGTCTGATAATCTTGAAAATTTAGTAATTAACCACTGCAAAATTGAGTACTATGGTCCATGGAATAATGGAGAAAAATAGGACTTTGATTCAGTGTCTTTGAGCATTAAGTCTATCTGGCTCTTAGTATTTTTTCTTTTCTTTGGTACCAGGGATTGAACTCAGGGGCATTCAACCACTGAGCCACACCCCCAATCCTATTTTGTATTCTATTTAGAGACAGGGTTTCACTGAGTTGCTTAGCGCCTTGATTTTGCTGAGGCTGGCTTTGAACTTGCAAATCTCCTGCTTTAGCCTCCCGAGCCAGTGGTATTACAGGCATGTGCCACTGAACCCGGTTGGTTCTTAGTTTTCTTATCTGTGAAAATGAAAGAGTTGACTGTAAGATCCCCATCTACTTTGAAATTCAGACATCTCTAGCTAATCAAGGTAAATTTATTGGTTCATAAGATGGGCAGTTTTGTCTACCAACAAACAACTCCATAGCTGCAAGCCACTATTATAAATACAGCATGTACATATTTTTTTAATAAAATAGTATGAGAGAAAATACATTAGCTTTCAATATTCCCAAAGTTAAGAAGGATGGCAAAAGATGAGGCCTGCACCCAGTGCAGGGGGGCCTTTTTTCAGATCTGCACAGATGGGGCAGTGCCTTTCTTTCCCCCACAGAATTGTCAGGTTTGGTGGCAGTGACTGCCTGTTGTGACATGCTTCTATTAGAACATGACCCAAGAGGGACATTCAAAATATGCAATGCCCAGTGTGTCAGGAATACCACCCTCCAGTCAGGACGGCTTGCTCCCCTTCTGGAGCAACAACTGGAGGTCTTGCTGTACCCACCATTAACATTCTATCTGCTGGATAGTGGGGCTCTCTGAGCGGTCTTTGAGGGTGAAGCACATTCAGTGTGCTTAAGGCAGAGGCTCTTAATGACCACAGACTTGTGTCATTGTTTTCGAAGCCATTGTGGCTGTTTTAATGTGCAAGGCTGCACACTGCTGGGATATGGCAGGAGCAACTTGGTTCCTCCTCCAATTTTCATCAGATCTTAAGACCAAACGGTCTGCTCTTTCAGCAATTTCCCTTTGATGTTCCAAAGTCACAACAGATTTTTTTTTCTCTTTTCTAGTACTCTACAATTCCATACTAACCTCAAGATGTACCTTAAAACAAACAAAATATTAGATTTAGGGCTAGAAGTAATTGCTGCACAAATTGCTTTTCTGCTTATTAGCAAAAGTGCTGAAGTTTTGAGCAACAATAGTCAATCTCTCTGAGCCTTCTCAATGAGTATAATGGGAGCCCCATTCTCCGCCTGACTAGGGTTGCTGTAAAGATCAGTATTTACAAGCAGGATGCTTTTTACTTGGTATGTGGAAGGATCTAGTGGGAAAGATTTTATTATTATTATTATTATTATTATTATTATTATTATTTATATATGGCATTAGAATGTATTACAATTCTTATTACACATATAGAGCACAATTTTTTCTTATCTCTGGTTATATACAAAGTATATTAGTGGATACAGAAGCATCCCATTGTGAATATAAAGGAATATTCTTAAAATACCCTCTTCCCATTCCCTGAGCCCAGTTTCTTTTCCATGTATCTGGGAGAATTTGGAAAGATGCGTACTGTGTTTTTGGCATAACCTCCCTGGGCAGCAGTAGGGGTGGCACAGAGCAAAAAGCCAAAACAGAAAGGCAGGCCTCTGCTCTCAGGGCTTGCCAAAATTTCATAGCTAAATAAGAGAATGCATAAGAGCATTCATTGTTTCACTTTCAATTTAAAGTATATTGAAACAAACCACATGGTCCCTCTGGGCTTCTGGATCTTCCTCTTCAAGGTGGAAATTACATCTGTCCTATCTACTTCTTAGGGTTATGCTAATAAAAAGAAGGTAGTATTCTCAGTGCTTTGGGGGAAAATCTAAAAAAAAAAAAAAAAGATATGTCAGTGCCTAGTAGTGGTATGCTCTGAGTTTGATTTTGTAATTTTTCTATATTATTGTATTCTACGAACACAGGCCTCCCTAGAGCATAATCCCTAGTCAACGATAAGTGAACATCTCAATAAATATTTATCCAATTGTATTGAAAGATAATTAGGCCTGCCATATGGAATAATACTATATGTTTTTAAAATTCTGTCAAAAATAATTAGAGGCTATGATGAACTCATATATCAAAATTAAGAGAGGAATCCTCAGGGTCTAAGTTCCTCAATTCTTAAAAGAAGTATGTTTCCTCTCTCAGGCCACTAGAGGACTTATTTAGCCTTTCATTTTTCTCTTATAAATAAGTTAGTTTACTATGAGGAAAAATAAGCACTACAGAGACTAGCCATAGATATGCATCTGAAATTATTTATGATGTCTTATTTTAAATTATAATTTTGAGAAGCTGGTAATGGCTATCAATGGGTGAACTGGAAGGGTCAGTGTTACTGTGCCATCCCCAGTGTCCATGTCTTTGATTTCTATTTGGGTATTTGTCAATCACATTGATAGCTCATTGGAACTACCATAGAAATCATTTGGCAATTATGCCATTGTGCAAGTAGCTACTACTCCTTGGTTTGATTTTCCTAGTTTGAATATTATTTTTAGCTATTCATGCATTTTATTTTTAAAGGTGTGGTTTTGTATACATTTGCAAAAAATATTATCTTTTACTTAAGCTTCTTTTTTCATTCATCTCTACTTTTTTGGTTTTTTGTTTTGTTTTTATTGACACCTCCACCTTATCCTGTTACTACAGTCCAAGGAACTGGGAATAAGTAATCTTTTTCCCAAGTCGTCATTTCTATATTGATGTGAAAATCACTTCAATCTTGCCATTCATAATCTATTTTGCCTTCACCAAGTGTTTTCTATTGTCATATTCTTCAGAAATTAAGATTTCATCATTTTAAATCTACATATCTTCTTTATTCAAGATGCCAAAATTTATGAAATAAAAAATATAGATTTATCCCCTTTAACCAAATAAAATAACATTATTAAGGGTATAATCTTTGTGTTTCCTGGGGCACATAACTACTGAGCCACATCCCCAGCCTTTTTAAATATTTTATTAAAGACAGAGTCTCACTAAGTTGCTTAGGTCCTCACTAAATTGCTGAGGCTGGCTTTGAACTTGTGATCCTCTTGCCTCAGCCTCCAGAGCTGCTGGGATCATAGGAGTGTGCTTCCCAGTGAATACTGCCATCAATTATCATAAATAACGGGACTTTTTTTAGTTCTTTTAATTAATATTCTTAAGAGTTCTGCCAACTGATGGTCTGAGATCCTCATTATCAAGCAATGAATTTCCAAGAACATCACCTTTTTGTTACTGAACTATTCATATCTTAGTAAATACTGTATTTCCTTTATTATTGACAATATAAAATGCAAGAAATTGGATTTTTTGCAGGAAATTAATTACTTTTTAATTATTGAAGAAAATTTTAGAGAACTCATTTTGCAGTGAGTAAAAATTAAAAGGGAGCATCTGCTTTGCTTTAAGACTTGCTAGTAGGTAGCATTTAGCTTTCTTAGAATAAAAAACATTCTTGGTTTATAACCTTGTTTCTAAAGTTTATTTTAGGTAATAGAGGAAGCTCAGCAGTATTATGAAAATACTCATTTTTTTCATTTCCTAAGCTTTTACTCAAGGTACAGTTACATGATAAGCCAAAATTACTAAATTAGGATAAATGTTAATTTCTCAAAGGATAGATTGCAATAAAGATACCAACACAGAAGTAATTTTTTGTTTTTGTTTCAATTTTGCTCCCAGTTCCAACTGCCTGATCAGAGAACTTGGGTAAGTTTCCTACTTATATTTTTAACTAAAGTAATGTAGCATTTAAAAGAAAACAGCTTATATTTTAAATTGCTGGACATACATAATGGATTCCGAGCCCCTTTCCATTAAATGATATGGCTACAACAGATAACTTCCCTACTTTATCAAGTTGCACAATACTTTCAGATATAATTGTGCATTTATTAATCTAGAAATTGTTTATGGAATGATTTTGTTTGATAAATCTGACCCATTCCACATAATTATTCCTTGATATGGACACCTGAGAGTATGTTGTTAAAGAAGGCTTCACATGGGCCAGTAAGTGGAAATAACCATTATTTGGGGGACAGCATGTTAAAGATAAGTTCGATAAAGCCTTACACAGGATAAAACTTAGACTTGTGTAGACGCAGGCTGACATTGGAATTCTCATTCATTTATCCCAAGGCAGAAATTGGTTCTGGCTATTTGGAAATGAAACTAAATGTTAAAAAATCCTTATCTAACTAGTGAATAGATCTTTTAGCATGGAGTCTCAACTTCTAGTTACTATTTCCAGAAATGGTCAGTTTCAGTAAATGGTATGAGGGAACAGATTTATATTTTTAATGGTAAAGTCATTTAGGATATAAAGAATCCTGCTTATTAACTTCTCACCTCCAAATACAACCTGGTCAGTGGAAAAAATATATATCTCAAAATTTTCTGTAAGTATATGTACGTTTACTTCTTTACTTAAAATTATGCTAATTTATGAGGAATGTGGAAAATCTTGGAGCATAGTCCAGCTGTCCTTTAAAAGCCACTATATTGTTATTATAAACTGAATTTAGTTGGAGCACTTTCACACTTTAGCACTTACCTATTTCTTCTATCTGGTGTTAGTTTTTTTCTTTACAAGGAATACCTCTAATTTCTCTCTTATGTGTAATATATGACAAATTGTCATTTTTCTTATTCTGGAGGACTTTAAAGGATTAAATTTATTTATTTCAAAAGTATGAACAATTTTTGGAAAGAGGAGAGAGAGAGAGGGAGGGAGGGAGAGAGAGAGAGAGAGAGAGAGAGAGAGAGAGAGACTGTGTGTGTGTGTGTGTGTGTGTGTGTGTGTTAGTTGTGCAGTCTATGGGCTTGTTCTTTGATTATCCTGGCCTATATCTCCAGGATCCCTCCTCTGTCTTTCCTGGAACGAGTCTGTCCTGAGTGTTATGCCTCACGACCCTCATCTTTTCTAAGGTGTAGTATGACTTTGGCAGTAGCTAAACTGTTAGTTACTTAAAGCTGAAGGTGTTAACCCCTTACACATGTGACCAACTATCAAAGCCCATTCAGATTTTAAGTTAGATTCCCTGTTATAATATAAGAGCAAAGCAACTGCCATTGCAATGCTCTGGACAAATTTCCACTCCATCACAGATTTCTCAGGGCTGCGATTCACATCTGTGTTATAAAACAGATACTAAAAGGAAATATTTAAGATATATGCTTATAAATTTTAGGGGTAAAAAATCTCTATGTGATTTCATAATCATGACTGCTGAGTATGATGCATGGTGTGAGATAAACATGAAGTATGAATATTTACTTCTCCCTCAAATGACCATGACTTTGTGATTTCTCAAGATTATCAAGTGAATAAATATAGAAAGCTACCCAATCTACAAACTTTCCCATCATTATGAATAGTTATTTATGAATAGTTAGTTATTTTATGATAAAGACATGTGTAATTTAATTGTGAAACTTTAGGTCACATAATTCATGGTGCCTTTGGACATATCATTTCATATAATCAGGTTGTCATTTTAATAGTTTTAATGAGAAAATTTTTTTATGTCATCAGTTCTTGGCTGCCTGATAATAAATGTTAGGCTGAGTGCTTAGGACTCAGTTGATGATATCTTGCCTGCTGAAATGTTTTTAAAAATACTAGCTTTATTTGACGAGAGATATAGCTACATTTTTGGTAGGAGCTAGGGAATTGTGTCTAAATATTAGTTTGCGTCAGTATGAAGTTAATAGCCTCTTGGGGACTCGAAGGAGGTGAAACAACTTCCTCTTCCAGACATCTGGCTGCAGATACCATCAACAATTATTATATATGTAAATAAAAATTACTGTTCCATAGAAAAAACTGTCATTTACTGATCTAAGATTAGCCTAAGACATCAATGGGTCACATGGTAATTCATTTCGAAAATATATGATCTAAGTTCTCTCCCCTTCAATTTCCCTATGCTCAGCAAATTTCTTATTCATAGTGGTACACATTACATTTTCATTGGATTTTTTTCATAATTAGAAAATATAAGCTAGATCTGTCCCATCCATTCCAATTAATTGATTTTTAAAATACTAGTTAGACTTTAAAATGAAGGTCAAAACTTGTTATATATTCTGTGAGTCAGGCCCGATAGAAGAAAAAGTTGGAGTTCTATCTCATATGTTAGATAAAACCATCTTACCCCAATACCTTGATCTAAGGTATATACTAGAGCTGACATTGGTCACAGAGTTGCTAAACTACCCCAACTGGCAGATGCTAAGTCACTTCTGTTTTGGTGGGGACACATTTTTTCCACCTGAGGTCAAGAGCTATAAGAGCAAATCTTAAGATGAAAGGAGTATTCAATGATAGGTTTTATGTCACTTCGGTTGTTGCTAGCTGAGCAGAATGTGTGTGTGTGCGTGTGCATGCACACGTAACTACATGTGGTATTAATAGCTATCCTTAGCTCACTTCCCATCTTCCTCCTCTCCCTTTCCTCCTCCGATTTAATCCTCTCTTCATTTGATATCAGAAGCCAAAGGTGGGGGTAGCTTCTAAGAGAAGCACTAGGCCATCCATATTCTTTCCCCTATTGTCTTTAAGAATGTCATTATTTAGCCATCATGTCCATAATATATTTTCTTGTGTCTTGATGGTTTTCTCAAATTGAAACAGTTTGAGATAAAGTAATCACAGTGATCTTTCTTCAAAGGAGCTAGCTATTAGCAGCTACTAAAGCAAGACACATTTCTCAACAGCCAATTGCTCTCAAATAACTTGAAGGACTTGTAGTTTATGTGTGCTAGAGATGAAAGCTGAGAATAATAGTAGTCATGAGTAAGCTATTTTCCATATAAAAGGGAAAGTGTTTCTATAAGATGTATTGCTGCAGGAATCTGAGTGTGTCTGCGGGACAGACACTCCAGTGATTTAAAACCACTTGATAATGAAACTTTGCCCAAATATTAAATGTACATAAATAAAACATTTATAATCATCACCCATGCACTTACTGTTCTTCCCAATAAATACATGTGATCATGACCCTTACCCTTGCTTGTTACTGCTAATCAGCTTGAAGACCAGAGGTCATTTTTCACTTAGACAATGTATTCCACCATGGAGGGAATATCAAAATGATTTTCTGCAAGGAACAATTAGAAGGAATAAATGCAAATAAAATAGTATCATAAAATATTTCTGGATTGATTTTTAATAAATAAAATCCAAAGTAGTGTGGAAATGTTAATGCCCTGCCTAGAAGGGGATAATGACTGTATTCTGCAGAGACAGAGTTTCCTCCAACCTCTCTGAGCAACATCATCATTCCATATCTCTGCCCTGTGATCAGTATGTGTCAAAATCCTTCATAGTGACAAATGTGCTGTCCACTTGCATCTGTGGAGAATGTTTTAGCAGCTGAGTGATTATGAATCAAACCCTTGAGCTTATAGCCCTTACCGCCTCCCAATGCGTTCACATTTGTCGTCTGACAAGTAAATGTATCTTGACTTTCCTCTGAGATTTTTTTGCACTGTGTTTGATGAAAGACATTTGGCAAATTGGCAGTGGTACCCTGTACATTGCAATTTGTAGCTAGCATTAGGAGTCCGGGCATGAAATGAGAGGGCAGGTTTCAGGATAAAGAGAAAAGAAAGAGAGCTAACTAGAACATGAATAGGCATTTGAAGAATCAAACATAAAATATTTCCTTCATGAGAAGAGAATTGTGTTAGGGCCATTCTTGTTAGCATTTTGCTCTAGATTTAGAAGTTGATGTAACTTCATATTCCTTTTTTTTTTAGTAGGAAATGCTGTCTTTTATTTTTAACATGAGCTTATAAATTAGATCTCTGTGTCTGTCTTGCTGTCTCATCAACGAAATAGTTAGCCTCTTGGGTTGACCAGTTGCCTGGATTTGTGGTTATTACCATCTAGTCCTTGTGTGTCTGTGAAAGCATACAGAATGCATTCAGAGCCTTTTAAGTAGGTATTTCCCCAGAGGTGTAAGGAGAACCAAAACTGTAAATAGTAAGTGATTCGATATAACAAGATGGCTTGTCTTCTTAAAAATTTGGTTGTTAACCTAGCTTCCGCATAAAATGCAGGCACTGAGAAAACTTAACATTTTGAGAGGGCTGAAGGAGAGGGGAATGTCCCACTAGCCATAGACATTAAGGATCAAACTGACCTTAAAATGCCACCCTCTAATTGTGACTCTATCAACTGTGTGTGTAGGTAAACTAAAACTTTATTATTATAAGCAAAATCAATTAGGTTGTTAGAATTAGGCAAAGTTTTTATTCACGTATATTTCTATAAGAGTATGATTATGTGTCCCTCTACCCATCTTATAAAGTGCACATCAAGTTACATGAAAATCTTGATCAATTGTCATTTCAGCTCAAATCTTTATCCAGACAGATTAATATTTCATCAAAATTATTCATATGTGATCTTACTTAAACATTCAGATACTAATTTAACATACTCTTAGGCAATATATCTCTTGTACATTTTCTTTTTTCTTTTTGGATTACACATATTTGACTTAAGCTGAGCCTTTGGTCTCATGATTTTTATTACCTAGGCAAGACATATATCATCTTTCCCTAAAATTCCAGTTTTTTATTGACATCCATAACAGTGCTATTAATTAAATAAAATGTTGATTTGATTTGATTATGTCTTTTAGGTATTTTATCAGATTGTTATAAAACAGTTTAACTAAGGTCTTATGAATAAAGTTCACCTAGCATCATATAAGCTTGGTTCTACCTTTATTTCCACAATCAATTATCTTGTGGTTTAATGTTGAGACCCTACAATTTTTTTCCAGACTCATTTTATTCAGAAAATTTGACCCTTTCCCATTATTAATGGTTTTTATTTGCCAGTGATTAGTACAGAAGGAAAAATGTCTGATCAGACCCTGCATGGTTCTGTGCTTTTGCCTTTCAGATGTCAGCTATTGAAAACATGGCAGAAAAGCTAGAGAGCTTCAGTGCCCTGAAGCCCGAGGCCAGCGAGCTTCTCCAGTCGGTGCCCTCTATGTTCAACTTTAGAGCACCTCCCAATACTCTGCCTGAGAACCTACTGCGGAAGGGAAAAGAGCGTTACACCTGCAGGTAACTGCAAAGTTAATTATGGCTGACTTTCCAAAAATCTCCCCTCTGATTTCAAAAGGCCCTTTTGTTTTTTCTGGAAATTATTCTTGATTGGATGACTAATAGAAACCATGATAGATTTCAGGCACTTCAAAGTGTTCTTTATTTAGTGAGATATAAAAATAGTGGTTTTAAAAAATTATTATTAAATGAGAATTTTAACACAGGCCATTTGGTTGTGATGAATGAGGTTGGAAACAGTCCAACTACTATCTACTTGTCTCACTTTGATATTTATGAATTTTCTTTCACAGTTAATTATTTTCATCCAAAGGTAAAATACTACTGTCCTCCAGTATACATTTATTAATTGTCATGGCAATGGGGAGTAACACCATTCGTGAAGGATGAATAGTTCTTAAGGAAAAAAGAAAACTAGAGAATAAATTTTCTAGTTACTTATGAGTAGAAGAATAAAGCTTGTCTTTATGTTTCTGTTTTTCTGAATTAAAAAAAAATAAATTAGATGCTTATAATTTTCTGATTTGTCCTCAGAAAATTGTGCTATCTGACTCAGGCATATCAATTTATCTGCTCTTAGGAAAATGTGTCACTTTCTTTCCAGAAAGGCTTTTATGGGAACGTACCTTGATGGATGAAGTCTCAGGATCTTGTCTGATCTGATACCACTCAATGTGCAGAGAGTTGTCACTATGGCTGACATGTAAAATGAGTTGAAACCTTTGAAATATGTTTACATCCACCCAGAATCACAAACTCTCGTCATTTTTTTATCCCCTTGTCTGGTTCAGTTTTGTGAATGTAAAGATACGGAGTTAATAAAAGAGGCATATGGGGGTCATCAAAACTAAAGTCTATTTTCATAAACTGCTTACTTATGCACGAGCAAATTCAACCAGATCTCATAGTGCAGCCTTTATTTGTAGAGTTATTTATATCTGTAGAATGGCTTTGTTGCAAATCTTAAATACCAAAGACATGTGAGTTCCATGCAAGATTAATTAAATCAGGAATAAGCATCTGGCTGCTCTGCAGCGCGAGTGAAATAAAGTTGACTGTGCTGACTTTCTCTTATAAACATCTTTTCATAACAGATACTGTGGCAAGATTTTTCCAAGGTCTGCAAACCTAACACGACACTTGAGAACCCACACAGGAGAGCAGCCGTACAGGTCTGACAGTGATTCTTCTAAATATCTTGATAAATAATGTAAAATTCAAACTGCACTCCTAGGCACAAGTTTAAAGGAAGCTACTTTTATCTGTGGCTGAATGAATGTGTACTCAGTGCCGAGTCAAGGAAGAATTGTCTGATTGCTAGGATCTAAATTTAGAAGAGTCCCATATTCTTTAGCCAAGGCTTCCTACCGATCAGTTTAAAAGTTCTGGGTCAGAGTTTACTAAAGAATAAGCATTTAAGAGACGCTAGTCATTTAAAAAATTATTTATTATTACTTCAGTGCTCTTTCTCAATCCCTACTATTTTAGTTGACAAAAATTAAAACATTACATCTTCCATTTCCCAAACCTTGACTCTCTGCTAGGAATTAATAGTCTATACATACTTTGTTTTCCCAGCACAGCAAACCAGTGTCCTCAGGTCCCAATAGGAAGTTTAAAAAAAAAATCTTAAGCATCAGGAAGAGGGAAAAAAAACATATGTAACTGGAGATAAAACAGATACTATAGAGTATATTATAGGAAAAGGGCCAATTCTATCAACAATTTCCTGAAGTACCTATTAGCTCATTCTATTAAATGTCAAAATTAGCAATATGACAAACACATCTAATTTTAATGTTATTGTTTACAAAAGAATGAAAATAAGCAACGTAGTCCCTTCCAGTTTTAAAATAAGACCTACATTTTTTAATGTGAAATTCTTCATGAACAGTATTAGGAACTCATATTTTTTCCAAGAAAGAATGGTATTTATCCCAAGTTATATCATAATTTCATTCTCCTTTGAAATTCTTTTGCATTTCATGTGTTTAAAATTATTTGGATCTGAATACTAACATTTTTTTAAATAAGTAAATTATACAGTTTCAGAGGTTTTTTGTTTGTTTGTTTGTTTTACATGCAAGAATGAGACAATGGGCAGAAGCCAATGCTCATTTGAAGATAATCAAAATTTTAGAACAATAGAAAAACTTAAACTCAAAAACATCACAGTGTTTTATAAATTTCCTTGATATCTTACATATTTTATAAATCACTGATCATACATGATGTTTTTACTTTACACATAATAGGATGTGCTTAGTCAAAAAGATCTTTTAGAGATATTAACAATGGGAAATTTTCGATAATTTCTCCTTAGGAGAAAATTCCATCTTCTGGGGATTCTGATTAAGGAGAAGAAAAGATTTGCGCCTTTATGTTTTGTTTTGGCTGAGGGTACTGGTATGCAATGGTGATACCATGCTCTACTTACTCCTTCTCTGTACCTGAATGCACTAGTTTTAATTTTTTCCTCATAAATTGTAGTATTATACATGTATTTTTAAAAGTACAAAACCCAGTGGAGCTGGAGATCTTAAACAATGATTTTTCCAGCCCTTCCCTCTGTTTTGCAAATAAAGAGAGGGAGGGAGGGAGGGAAGGAGAGAGAGAGAGAGAAAGCTAGGGTTGGGGGAGGGAAGGAGAAGGAGGGAAGGAGGGAGAGAGGGAGGGGGAAAGAGAGAGGGAACCAGGCAAGAGCTCACTAACTGCCTCTGTGAAGTCTGGTACCAACAGAGTCGAAATTAAAATCTGGGCCCAGAACTCTCACATCTGGGTTTTTCTCTTTCAATCCTCTTGACCACCTTATCTACATCCAATAACCAGGAAGGCCTGATAATATACTACTCATGATTGAATTATTCATTTTAAGAATTTCTGGAACTTTGATCTGATTTGAACTGATTATTTTTTTAACCACATATTAATTCATTGGAGTAGAAAGGAATGATTTTTTAAAAGAATTTTTATTTAGAGTGCTTACCCCTCTGGCCAAGATGTTAGCAGAAGAGAGATATAAGGTAACAGCTTATCATAGGATAAAACATCCCTTTGGGCCAATTTTATTAAGATTTGAGAAGATGATGTCTACTAGATTTGGAAGAGCCCCTTTTGCATATAAGCAGGAAGTCGGAAGCATGTCCTAAGACTATATCTCTCTTCCTCATGATTTGTGTAAAAAATGAGTGAAAATTTTTCTAAAATGTTTGATGGGAGTTTAGGTTTTCTCTGTCGGTATTGGCTAAGTCGTTCGGCTTCATACAACATAATCGTGTTCCATGTACCTTGCTTCTATTACAGTGGGCCTTTGAATAAACAAAGCTATTTCAAAGACAGCTGTGATTCCACGTACTTATTTTTCAGAAGTAGAGGCTGAAAGAGTACAACCACCATCAACATGGGGTTCCACACAGTTTATGTTAATATTATAAGCAAGAAAAGTTGAGGAACTTCATGAGGCCAGAACAGTTTTTAAGGGGGAAGAATTAAAGCAGTCCTTAAGTTGGTTTACTCATACTATGCCAAAGCGACTATTCAACAGATTTGTTTTTCCTACTGAACTGCCTAGACTTTTGGTATCACGTAAGGACAGCTGTAGAAGCCCTATCACGTAAGGACAGCTGTAGAAGCCCAAGGACCTGGAGTGGAATGGAGTGATTTCTGATTTAGAGCACTTGAACTTGAGTCTGCAATCAGAAGAGGGAAGATAAGGGCCCTTCACACATGGAAGAATGAGTTAAGAATGTTCTGGCCACTGTTAGAAATTTTCACTTAAAAGTCACTTGGAAAAAGTCGTTTTTTTTTTTTTTTTAAGCAACACACACACATCACAGCACATAAACAAATGATGGACTCTTTATCTTCTAGTGCCAGTAGAGAATAACTCCATTAATTACAAAACCCACTTTTCTTCCTCATTGATAAGAACTGGTGGGGATGCTGGGATCTTGCATTTTATATTTTTACTTGATACCAAAAAAATAACTTTAAAATGATTTTATTTTATTTTTTAAATCTAATGGAAGGCAAAAACAATTAACCAACCAATAATAAGTGCTTTCTTGAAAACCTGACCTCCTTTGAATCTGTACTGAGACTGCAAACTCTTGAAGAAACATTGAAATGGAAAATTAGGAGATAGGGAGAGAGAAGCTGATTGAAACCTTTGCTTTCATCTGGAAGAGAGTTAGTGGCAGCTTGACTTGCTTTTGCAGCAGTTTAAAGATTAATAAATGCTTTGGGATTTCCAGTCACCAAAGGTGATGAAAATCACTGTCTTTGGCATCAGACAACACTGTTCTCATTGTCTCCATTTTAAAGGCTTGGAATGTTTATTGCTACTTTGGAGAAGATAAGAAAATGTTTTTAGGATTAGCAACAGATTAGGTGAATTTGCTAATAAACTAATTAATCAGACTCTCCAATTTTGAATGAAGAAGTAATCTTTTACTTCAGTGAATACATGAATTTGTTTCATGTTTGTTTAAAAATAATCCAATTGTATTTATGCTAAGCAGAAGATAAAAGATTATTTCATTTCTTGATGTCCTTAGTTTTGTGAGGTTTATTTAAAATATTAGAACTGTGTGCTGTAATAAACTTGGGAGCCATAGAATCACTAGTATATTGGTACTTTTTTTTTCATAAAATCATGAAAATATAACCTTCAAAGTCTGTTGGAATTGAAATCTTGACTGTGTGAGTAGTGTTCTTCCCTGTGCCTTTTCTAAACTGACATTTCATGGGTGATAATTTTTTATCTGTGTCTTATGAGTCTTGAGAAATATCTTTTGATTTGCTTGCAAGTATTTTCTCTGTGCTTATTTTTCAGATGCAAATACTGTGACAGATCATTTAGCATATCTTCCAACTTGCAGCGGCATGTTCGCAACATCCACAATAAGGAGAAGCCCTTTAAGTGTCACTTATGTGACAGGTGTTTTGGTCAACAAACCAATTTAGACAGGCACCTAAAGAAACATGAAAATGGGAACATGTCTGGTAAGTATTTGTGTTACAAGAACAAAAATGACTTTATTTTTCACATTTTAAAAGATAATTGTGATCTTCTTTCTTTCCATTTGATTCCAAAATCAGATCTTACTATAAATTTACAACCAAGAGTCCCTTGAGAATTTGGAATCATGGGAATGGTATGATCATTGGTTAATGCACAGGTCAATGGCCTTATTTGGACTGTTGTTGTTATTATTATTATTATTATTATTATTATTATTATTATTTTATTCTGCTAGATTCGTTTCAAAGGGGAATCTCAAGCAAAGAGAACCATGATTGTACTCACTGTAGACATCTGAATGGAGGTTTCCTGAATCACGGGGAACAATCTTTCCACCTGTTGTTCAGAATGTGTCCCTTAAGCATTTCCAGAGGGGCAGCTCCAGAATGCCACACTCTAAATATTAACTTAGAAACCATGGCTGCATTTGCAGGAGGACTGCAGTTCAGGGAACCTCTCTAGGGTAACATTTTTGAAGTTTAGGGATAGAAAACTGTCAACATGATCAGAGCCACCCACAGCAATCCATGGAGGTGTCTTGTTTTTGTCACTAATTCTGATGTAAAATTAAATCAAAAGTAATGAATCAAAAGAAAAAAATAGCTTTCCCTTAAACCTACAAGCATATATTTAGTGGAAAGGACTGTAGGCCCTTTGTCTTTGGCTTCTAAGAGTCAGATACTAACTCAGTAACTAACATTGGCCTGGTGCATATGTGTGCAGAATCCACCAGTGCAGTCACAGGTTCTTTCTAGGATGTTAAGGAATGAGTTAGAAGGTTGAGAACCCTTCTGGGGTTCAGATGGGGCTCAGGAAAAGAGATTTTAGGTGCAAAAAAATATGGATTTACTACTGATATTTATTTAAAGAAATTTGTTTATTATCAATCTTTCATTTATTGATCATGGTTTTAAAATGTGCCTATAAAGGCACATGGTTTATGATTTGAATAGTGTGACTACTTATAGCTACATGCTGTTCATTTCCTGTACTATTCATTTCAAAGTAGGAAAAAAAGAAAGAAAGAAAATCTAACATTCATGGTTTTAAATATTAGATTTTAGTGCAGAAATCTAATCCAGTATCCAAAACAGGCCACACTTTCTAGCCATGTGTACACTTATAGCCTATTCCTGTAATTTTCTAATTAAAACTATTTTGTAAAAAAAGAAAATCTAATGTGTAAATTTTCAAAGTTTTCATTAGATTAAAGTTCTTTAAATGGAAGGGACATTCTGATCTCTTGTTTTTGTCATATAGACTATTGTGATCAGCTATTAAATTGTAGATACTTTATGGGCAAGATAAACAGCATAAAGCTAATGTTGGTGTAAAGTTTGACCATATAAATAGTGCTTACAATAGTGCCAATGTATGTAAACACTAAAGTAGTCCTATGAGATGGGTATTGTGATTCTAATTTTGTAGGCAAGAAAAGCTGAGGATCACCCTGTAGCAGGCTGATTCAATATTGTTGTCTTCTTATTACATCAGTCCTTGGGCTGCTATGATCTGAGCCTACCCATGGCTTTGCCCAAGTCAAGATGCAGAATAGTCAGTATATTCTCAGTCCCTATTTTGTAACATATTTTAGTACAGCAGTAACAAATATGCATTGATTGTAATCAGGACGGGATACAGTTTCTTCTGTCTGAAACTATTTAAGACCTGTCTTTAATTTGTCTCACCCTATCTCTGCATTAGATGAATGAAAACATTTCCATGTGACAGTGGAGGTGGGGAAAGCTAGTGAAAGAAATGATATCCTTGGAGACTGTACCTCATGACTTTAATGGGTCAGAATATTTTCAAGGGATTTTGATGGGCATGCATATTTTGTTAAATTGGGAAGAATTCAACCTCCTAATGTTACTGTTATTCAAAAGGTTGTGTTTTAAGAAACAACACTGATCAAATTAATAAGAAATGACGTTGAAAATAAGTTGCCACATCAATAATAATCTTTGTCACAAAAGGCTTTCTGCTCCATTCAGGTACAGCAACCTCGTCACCTCACTCTGAACTGGAAAGTACAGGTGCGATTCTGGATGATAAAGAAGATGCTTATTTCACAGAAATCCGAAATTTCATTGGGAACAGCAACCATAGTAGCCAGTCTCCCAGGAATGCAGAGGAGAGGTAAAGCTGGGTTTTGCTTTTTAAACTCCTCCTCTAGGTTTCTAGAGGAGGAGGGAGAGAGGAACTTTTTAAACTCTGTGACATCTAAAATGAATGTATTTCTAAATATGTTTTCTGGGCTCACTTTTGTGGTACTACTATTACTCCTTCCACCAATGACTAGTATTTATTTAGTGCATATTAAATACTATATACACATAATACTTGACCCTTTGGGATTGTGCCTATAATTTTAGCAGTGAAGGAATGGAGACATTCAAGATTAAATGACTTGCTGAGGTCACAGAAGTAATAAATGGGGTTCAACGTGATTTCTCTGGTTCCAGAACCCCTGACTTTACCTCCATTGTGCTTCTCTTGATAGCTAAACAAAATGTTTTATCAAAATTTCAAAAGGAAGCTGGATGCGGTGGCACACACCTGTAATCCCAGCGGCTCAGGGGGCTGAAGCAGGAGGATCACGAATTCAAGACCAGCCTCAGCAACAGCGAGTTGCTAAGCAACTCAGTGCGTCCCTGTCTCTAAGTAAAATACAAAATAGAGCTGGAGATGTGGCTCAGTGGTCAAGCACCCCTAAGTTCAATCCTCGGTATGCCCCCCAAAAAAATTTTTCAAAAGGAGAATGGAAAATCCCCAGAGGGATTCAATGGAATCGCAGGTCATTATTAGCTACTATCATAGATCATATATTGTGTGTATTATACATAATTTAAAACTCTGAGTCTCTGTCTCTCTCCTCCCTCCCTCTCTTTCTCTCTATATATGTAAATATATATATAGTTGTATATATTGATATGTATTTATATATGAAATACTCATTGAGTGTCCTTAAATATCTGAAATTAATTAAGATTCTATCACTACTTCATGTTCTTTCAGTTGGTGCACATTTAATTCTGGTGGTTTATTTCAGTGGACAAAATCTTTCTTATTTTTAGTGATATGGTATACTTCCTCCCTCTTGTCAATATCAATATCAAACATGTTAAAATAAATTTCCTTTATTTGAGTTAGTTTCTTCATTAAGATGTGCTTTAAATAAACATTTTTACCAAATGTTAATGCTATTTATAAGAACTAACACCTACCACATTACCTTGTATGCAAAGTTCATGAAAATTATTTTGCCAAAACTACTGGATGCAATTTTCCTTATCTATTAGTTATAATCAAGTATCTGAAATTGGGAAATACACTTTTCTGAACCTGACTATCCTGTGACTTTTTAAATTGGGATGCTGCATTGTAAATATTAATATAACATGAGACCTGTTAATGAAAATTCAATTATTTTTCATTACACCAATTCCACTGGGTTAGTATGCTTCATTTTTGATGCTGGTAAACATCAAGGTTAATTATTTTAGGTAGTTTCTTCATTAAAATGTGCTTTAAATAAAAATTTTTACCAAAATAGCACAAAAACATACGACCACTTTTGTTCTCTACCTTGTATAAAAGCATATCCAAGGAAAAAAGGAGGGAAAGATCTTTCTGGGTGTTCAAGACATCTGATAAGAACTATACATTGTTCTGTATCCTTCCTACTACTTGCTCCTTCGTGTGCATGAGTGTGTGTGTGTGTGTGTGTGTGTGAGAGAGAGAGAGAGAGAGAGAGAGAGAGACAGACAGACAGAAGGATACAGCAGATGATCCGAAAAGCAACATAGTAAAAGCAAGTAAGAAGCACAATCTTAAATTTTGATAATGATATTGACAAGATGCAAATTAAAAAAAAAAAAAACTGAACAGAAGATACAGTTTGAATTCTGAGATGCCTGTTCAGATTTCCTAGCTCTTAACTGGAGATCTGTGAGTCTGTGTCACCACAACATCTGGCTTCAACATGTCTAAACAGCACACAAGTAAGAAGGTTGAATCATCCAGCTTTCCCTCCTCTGCTCCTATCAGGCTACTTTTGATGAATAATTTATCCCCTATAAATTGCCACATTTGAAAGCATAATTAACAAAAAGATTGTCTTAATTATGTTGGCTTTTGTTACTTTTGGTTTTCATCCATGCACTTTTGTTCTTTTACTTATTCTTTCATTTGAAAAAAAAATAACAATTTTGATCTGTTCTAGCTAGCAAGTTGGCAGCGTATCTGGAAACTAATAATTTATGTCTGTGCGAAATATGTTTTCATCATTCTTTGATAAAAGAGGTTAAAAGATTGGTTATATAAAATGCTTAATAATAATGATATGACTTTTTCTGGTCAAATGAATTTTTAGTATGTGCATCTGTCATAGCCAAGATTGTTTTATTTATGGATTAATTTTATTCTGGAAATCTAAGTACTAAGCTCTGCTCATTTTTATATGAAAAAATTATGGGGATAAATTACTGATACCCGATCTCTCATAATCTGAAAAATGTTTACATTACTTGTGAAAGTCATACATGACTATAACAGTAATTTAACAGTCTCTCTGAGTTTTCTGAATTAATAAGTAGATAAAAGAGCAAGGCAAAATGGGAAAACTGTGAATGGCCCAGAAGTTAGGATGTCTGGATAGCCATGATGTTTCCATCCCTAACAAGTGTTCTGAACTTGAGCAAAATATTCTCTAGAGCAAACTGTTTACACTTACTTTGTAACCAAATACAATTTATAAATTTCATGTCAAAACTGAAATCCAAATTACCCTTATTTTAATGTTCATTTGAGAGCCTGAGAAGCTTACTATAATTTCATAAATACCCTCAAGTATATTAAATTCCTGGGTAATTAATTTTTTAAATTATTCTTGATCTGCATATTATAACCTGTGTAAGCAAAATCTTGCATACGACTTTTTAATAAAAATACTATATTATTTTGCATCATTATATTAGACATGCTTCTTAAGGAAAACTTCAGAAATCAGTACAATTCCATTTTTATTCACTTCCTACTTCAGTATTTTCCTGGGAAACAAGGAACTTTTTCACACTCAGACTATTAAGAATAATTTGGAGATATTACAAATAAATGAGGTATCCATCACTTTCAAGGTTGGGTGAAGTGTCCAAGTTAACCACTAATGTCACCTAGGAAGAGTAAATACCAGTTGGTCCTTGGCTGCTAGTTACACGTTTTCTTCGAATTCATAGATTTACTTCAAGTGGATGTGTAGAAGCTATTGTCAGTGTTGCCTGTTGTTATGAATTTTCCCCAGAAATCAACTCTTTTAAGTGGTGGGTACTTAAATGGTGATTAGGTACATTATGTAGAGAAAATATTTGGGGGCTTTTTATATTATAAATAACAATATCATTTATAAGGCAAAGGTCTGATAAGAAATCAGAGTCTAAGATTGTTCTTCCGGTTCTGCCAGAAACTCCATTTATAATCTGAATGATCATTCAATTATTTCTTTTCTTCATTTTCTTATTTATGGAATTATATTATTTTCCCAAGGTTGCCACAAAACGTAAACAACAAAAATTTCCCTTTGTAAGTTGAGAATCTAAAGTATTGTCAGGGAAAAGATAAGAAAACTAACTACATGTTTAAAAATTAAACCAATGATTGAAGCTTTTTATTCTTATGCTTTTGAAAGAATGAATGGCAGTCACTTTAAGGATGAAAAGGCTTTGGTGACCAGTCAAAATTCAGATTTACTGGATGATGAAGAAGTAGAAGATGAAGTGTTGTTAGATGAAGATGATGAAGACAATGATCTGACTGGGAAACCCAGAAAGGAATCAGTGGCAAGTAATTTACATGAAGGAAACACTGAGGATGACTTTGAAGAAGCCAGTGGTCTGGAGATGAGCTGTAAGACATCCCCAGTGAGGTGAGCACCTTTGGTGACTTCAGAAGCTAAGCCAGAGTAGACCCACACACAGCTGCAACTCCTCCTGCTCTGTTTGTCCCTTAGAACATTTCAGTGAGAAGGAATTTGTGAGTAATGAATTTTAAAAATTAAATTTGAATCAGCAAGGCACACACAGTGTATTGGTTTTACATAGAGGAACATGAGGTGGCCATCAACATAATCTGAAAACATGAGTACATTAATGTTTGTAGAACGCTGGTTAACCCGGTAGGAAGGATAAGTGAAAATTACACAAACATGCAGTCATTTAATTTTAGACTTTACTTTTATGAAACCCAAAGGAAAATAGAGATTTCAGCATTATCTAATTCATTCAGTAATTCGTCATGATCATCAGTCAAGTATTATTAAGATAAATTTCACTTCATTAGATATATATGTAATTTACATAGATGATAAATTTTTAAATGGAAAAAAATAACCAAACAGTTAAATTGATGGAGATATTATATTTTCATGAAGATAATGTGTGCTGACTGCATATTTTCATATCTAGCTTGGCTTTACATGGAAATTTTAAATGTATGAATTCTGTCTTCACACATGGCTGGCTTAATGTGTCATTGACTTTATGTCAAATATATGCTTGACTTCAGTCATTCAAAATGTTAAGGGAAATATATTTCAAGATATACTTGTAAGTATTTTAAAGAATCCAACCACCACGTGTGCAACTTTATACTGCAAATACAGTACAAAGTTCAACAGCTGTATAGGGTCAAATGAAAGTGATTTGATCAGATGACAAACTGAAAAAGGAAAAAAAAAACTTCTGTGCTTTCCCATTGGTTGTTCATTTTAGGTATAAAGAGGAAGAATATAAAACTGGACTTTCTGCTCTAGATCATATAAGGCACTTCACAGATAGCCTCAAAATGAGGAAAATGGAAGATAATCAATATACTGAAGCTGAGCTGTCTTCTTTTAGTACTTCCCATGTGCCAGAGGAACTTAAACAGCCGTTACACAGAAAGTCCAAATCACAGGTACATGTTTTCCTGTAGTAAAGCATCATGGTGATGTTGTGCATGAAAATGTACATTTCCTTTGATTAGCAAAAAGTTGATAGTCTTTCTTCATAATATTCTTGAATCCAAGCAGGTTCAGATGCTTTATCCCCAGGGTTCCTCGCTGTACTCTGTATTTGACAAATCCAAAAGAGTTCACCAGTGCAACATTTGACATGGCTACATTCTACACAGAAATTCCTGGGGCACACCTCACCCTACTGCAATCTCTCCTTTACTTTGCAGTCCCCTTCCTTTGGTATAGGTAGTCCGTAAGATTTGTTTTCCACAAACAAATGCTTCAGAACAATTTTCTAATTATTTTGTATTTGAAATTTTAATTTATGATTTTTTTTGTCCACATAATTATGTTGCAAGATTTGGGGAAAACAAATTTTATTTTTTCCCTTTCCTATAGGTAGTAAATTATTATGTATTTTTCATGAGCAATTCATCAGACTATAGAACTTAGGAGTAAACTGAAGATTAGAAATGAAATGAGATGTCAAAGATCTACGCTAACTTAGTGGCAGATCTGGAAATAAAACCTACCAGGTTTTCTTGGATGAATGGATGGTACTTCATTGTACAGTAACTAAAAGCAAATCTATTGGAGGATCCATAAACATCAACTAAAAGGGCCTCTGTTCTTTTACTAAAGAGTTAAGAAAGCCAGTAGTTTCTTTTTGACATCTGTACTCAGCCACTATTCATTCAGGTCAACTAATGGTAAAAAAGAAGTAGAAACATCCTCTTACCATCTTTATTGATCAAATTGATTGGATTGTTTGATCCATTGTGGTCATTTTTGAAGTGACCCAACCTGTCAAACAATGTGACCATTATTAGCTTATATATTTGGAAATGATTTCCCTTTTTGGCTGAGATGTTCCTGGCTCGTCTTAAAAGACAAAACAGTAACATGTCAAGGACAGTGGGAAGGCATTGTGTCAATGTGATAATATAGATCTTCAAATGTTATTCAATTCAATGAAAGGTCCAAGGTATTATGTATGGTGATAGACCAGGTTATGGTTATGACCAAGTTAATGGTCTAACCGTACATATTGAAGTGAAGGCAGCCAGCCTCAACACTAGCGACTTCTATAGCCCACCCCACTTCCTTGAGAGCATCTCTTAAGGACTATGCATGGGGACAATGTCCTCACTGTATGGGGGGCATATGGGGAAGATATTCCTTTCTTCTTCTTAATGGGGATGAAAGTGAACTTTTCAATTTTTAATATTAAAAGTAAACCAGCAAGAATAGACCTTTCATTTTCACTTGGAAACATGCACAAAGAGGTAGCTAGTATTATTTTAACCCCTTTACTTCCCATTCTTCCTTCTTAGCAGATCAGAGATACCAGGGGGGATTTGTGCTCTCTTTAAATTTCTTTTAGTTATTCTATTCAAAATACTTTTCATTATAATATACAATATCTAAAACTTTCAGAAATTGTCAGATGTTATAGAAAGCAAAAAGGCCTATATTAGAGATAATATATATGATATATATTTAAGTACTAGCATTTTGATATCAAATCCCTGCTTATTTAACTCTTTCACAAGTAATGCTAGCATTCCGTAAACTAACATTCTGCAATCCTAGCTCATACTTTTCTTCTTACTTGATTATATGATATATATTGATTTATAAACAGTGAGGCTTTATGCAAATTGACTTTGTCTCATGAGACTCTTCATTCATTTATTCATTCATTCATTCATTCTTTTATTCATGGTTTATCAATTGTCAGTTATGTGCTAGACATTGATCCTTGTACATGAAAGTGTTCATTTCTTTTGATTATCAAAAGGTAGATATTCTATATTTGCCATTTTATTAGTATCTGAAGGTTCAGATACTTTATTCAAAACATTTATACATTTACACTCTGTGATTTTTATAGTGATTGAATCCAAAATAGTTGACCAATACTACAATAGCTGCATTCTGCATGGAATCTTCTCTGAAAAACCCTATTCTATAGAAATTAATTTTATGGAAATAGGTACTATCTATATAAGTGCACTGAACTAAGCTCTTTATGTAAGTTAGAATTTGTGATTCCTTCTTAACCCTTGGAGGCAAGTACTATTATTGTTATTGCCTTTTTGTATGAGGAAAGTAAAACTTCTGAGGTAAAGTAACTTGCCCAAGTTCACACAGCCGGGCAAGTAGAGGCAAGGTAGAATCCAGATTCAAACTCAGTATTCTAAAATTTTCTCTATACTCCCTTTCATCTTTCCCAAATACTGGAAAAAAACAGCTATCAAAACTATTCCAAAATATTCTTTATTATTTTGATCTCTAAAAGTGGGCGCATAATTTGAGTAATTTAAGTTTGATGCTCACTTACCACATACTTTAAACTCTACAAAGGACAAGGACTCTATATTCTTTCCCTTGATTTCTTAGGGCCTAATACAGTGCCTGGCATTGAATACATACTTAAGCAATATGTGTTAAATGGATACTGTGGTTTTATACAGGTCCAGAAAGCAAATTGCATACATAAAAGTCAAATGTGTACATTCAGAGCAATGACCCAGCAAATCAAAATCAGCCTGTAAGGGCAGATTTCTAACTGAATGGCATGATTACCGAAGAAACCACAGACTGGCCACATGTCTCAGCATGATTCCCAGAGATGAAATTCTGCCTAACAACAGAGGCATTTTGTCTTTGTTTACAGACAGTGGAATGTCTTTGGCAGGACTTTAATGATTCCACTTCAACAGCATTTTGACAAGCAAGTTTAGCAATGGATGAGACCAACAATAGTAAATCAACAGTGAAAAGTTCACTCACAAGTCAAGACCAAACGTTTCATTTGAATATTTCACTTGGCAGTAAATGGGGGATTCTCTGAACAGTTATTTAGAATTTGACATGATAATAGGGAAGAAAGACTACTTCTTTACAGAGCACCTTCATGCACCTTCTGCTTGGCAGGCGCCTGCGCACAAAGCGCTCGGGACGTTGTTAGGTCTCGTGCTTCGTTTTATTTTTCTGGTGGAGCTGATTTGACCCACCCCAACACTCAAGGTCCTTGGGGGTTGGCTGTGACTGTTTCAGGCATGAAGAAAATTGGAGAAAGGACATTGGATTAAAAGTTGGGCAGAAGTCAGTTTTAGTTCTTCTATCTAGTTGAGTGACTTTGGGCAGGTCATTTCCCCTTTGGAAGTCACAGGTACTAGAGTCAGACTGCTCCATCAGACCACAGCTCTGTCAAGGCAGGTCTAGATCTATTAATTAGTGTTTTTAGCTTCAGTCTTAAGTACACAATAATCTCTTTGGTGAGTTGAACATATGTAAGATGGATGACTTTCCTTATGGTTATCCTGAAGGATGAAGTGCTGTTGACCTTTTAGGTAGAATAATTAATTTTTTTTTGGTAAGATGCATCCCATTTGTGACCCCTAGATACTGTAGATCAACAGTGATCCCATGTCATATGTCATTTTAAACAAAAATACATGCCCCCTTTACCAAACACAATCATGAATGATGCTCCTACCCAGGGTCCCCTCCCTTCCCAACATTCACCTACATTCTACAAATCAAAAGTGGTGTTTTTCAAAAGCCATTTACTGGGTCTCTCCTTTTTACTTCAGGCATATGCTATGATGCTGTCATTGTCCGACAAGGAGTCCCTCCATTCTACATCCCACAGTTCTTCCAACGTGTGGCACAGCATGGCAAGGGCTGCTGCGGAATCCAGTGCCATCCAGTCCATCAGCCACGTATGACATCACCAAGGTTGACCAGAGTGGGACCAAGTCCAACAGTAGCATGGCTCTTTCATATAGGACTATGTACAAGACTGCTGAGCAGAATGCCTTATAAACCCGAAGGGTCACTCATTTAAAGTCTGGTGACCTTAAACTGAAATGATAAAAGAAAAAAGAAAGAAAGAAAAAGGAAACTATTTATTCTCAATATTTTGTTTTGCACAGCAAAGGCAGCTGCTGACTTCCGGAGGATCAGTTTGGCTTAAAATGAGTCAAGGAAAACCTTGCTGGGCAGAAGGCACCTTCTAGTTCCCCCTGCCCTAGGGTGTGGATGGGTGAGAGGGGCAGTTGAGCTGGCAGCATTGATACGATGAACACTCCATAGAAACTGAATTCTTGTTTGTACAAGATCACCTGACATGATTGGGAACAGTTGCTTTCAATTACAGATTTTTAAGTTTTTTTTTTTCCTTTGTTAAAGTTTTATGTAATTTAACCCTTTGAAGATGGAAGTAGTTGGATGAAATGCACAGTCAATTATTATAGAAATTGATAACAGGGAGAAATTGTTCCACAATTAACTTTTGCCTTCTTAAGTACATTGTTTAAAACTAGGGGAAAAGGGTATGTGTATATTGTAAACTATGGATGTTCATGCTCAAAGAGGTTAAGTCAGTGACCTAACCCATTCATCACCAATACCGCTGTACCACTAATAAAATGTTTGCCAAATCCTTGTAATAACATCTTAATTTTAGACAATCATGTCACTGTTTTTTAATGTTTAAATTTTTTTGTGTGTGTTGCGTGTATCATGTATTTATTTGTTGGCAAACTCTGTTTGTTGATTAAAATAGCACTGTTTCAGTCAGCCACTATTTTATGACGTCTGAGGCACACCCCTTTCTGAATTTCAAGGACCAAGGTGACTCGACCTGTGTATGGGAGTGCCAAATGGTGTTTGGCTTTTCTTAACATTCCTTTTTTTGTTGTTGTTGTTGTTTGTTTTGTTCTTAATGAACTAAATACGAATAGATGCAACTTAGTTTTTGTAATACTGAAATTGATTCAATTGTATAAACGATTATAATTTCTTTCATGAAAGCATGATTCTTCTGATTAAAAACTGTACCCCCGTATTTTATGCTGGTCGTCTGCAAGCTTGTGCGACGTTATGTTCATGTTAATCCTATTTGTAAAATGAAGTGTTCCTGACATTATGTTAAAAGAGAAAAGTAAATAACAGACTGTATTCAGTTATTTTGCCCTTTATCGAGGAACCAGATTTGTTTTCTTTTTTTGTTTGTAATCTCATTTTGAAATAATCGGCAAGTTGAGGTACTTTCTTCAAATGCTTTGTACAATATAAACTGTTATGCCTTTCAGTGCATTACTATGGGAGGAGCAACTAAAAAAAAATAAAGACTTACAAAAAGGATTATCCTCTCCCACCGTGTGTGGTGTTTTCCTTCTCATGTGATTTTAGTTCTCCTTTGGGGTCAAGTGATTTAAAGATACAGTGTTTGGAACCTTGATGTCCTAACAAAAACCTGGAATCTGAAGCATGTCTGTGTTGTTTTGCGATGACATACTGATAGCTCTTGACCAGCAATGAGTTGTGTTTGCAGTGCTGAACTTTCCACCACTACCCATGTACCCATTCCTGGGTACTAGCATTCCATGTCCACAGCACCCATTTTCTCTAGGGCAGGAAGCAACTTAGTTTTTCTACTGGATTTTTCTGGATTTTACATGCCAAACCGAGCTTTCTTATTTTTGCAGCTAATAATACCAATACTGTTAACCTAATTCAAGAGGAGGGGAAAATACCTTTAACTTTTCTACATTCCTTTTAAGTTTTGGTCCACATGCAATCTATCTTTTTTTTTTATAGCTTGCAATCAGAGTGTAAACATGGTTTTGCATTTTCTTACTTGTGGCAGAAAAAAGAAAGAAAAGAAAATATCACTGCATGCTGCTAAAAATTGTGCAAAATAATCATTTAGTGGTTACTCAATGTTTTCTGTCAAGTTTGATCTACTATAATTTCTCCAAGAATTTTAATTATGTTGAAAATGTAGGGTGTTTTCTGTTTTCACTGGTATAAGCAAGGACATTTTAATTTCCATGAATATACTTTGTTTCTGAGTGTTCACATATGTATACGCAGAGCTGGAGTGTAATGGGCGGAACTTGCAGAGAGAAGTTATCCTGTGGGGGAGCCATTATGAATTTTTTTCTTTGCTCCTTTAATATAATGCCAATTTATTTTAGAATGGTTATTCCAATTTTGGCTGGCTGTAGGGGTTTCGCTTAACAAGTCCTGAAGAACAAATAAAGTTGACATGTGAAAATATATCCAGGGTAATTCCTTCCTTCATTTATTCATTCTTAGTCACAATATAAGAGAATCCCTTGCATGGCTTCTGAGTGTTGTATAGGAATTAAAAACATGGGATAGATGTATTGATTTTTTTTATTAGAAAGTATAGATAGGAAGAAGTATTCAGAAAATATACTTAAAGCTATAAGTCCATAAATGAAGGAGAATAGGAATCTAGTATTTAGGACATAAGAATAACACATTGGAGAAAGTAGAGATGGGGAAGGTCTACACATTTTTTTTTGGTATTAAAAATATACCTATAAATTTCAAAGCAATTCAAATACTCCCAGCGCTTCTTACTTCTCATTAGACTTTGATCATGTCATTTCGGTTGTTCCCTAATGCTTATTCCTCCAAATTCCAAAAAGGCTTTCAAGCCTTACATTTCTGCTTTTTTCTTTCTTTTTTTCCATTTATTTTGCCAACAGTTCACCACATGGCCCTGGGGGGAGGCAGTGAGTTGCATCGCAGACAATCTGAGACTTGGAAACGGAAGGCCTGGGTTTGAGTTCTGGCTCTACTGTTTACTGGCTTCAAAGTCTTGGGAAAGTCACATAGCTTCCAAAATCTCATCTGTGAAACCAGGATAATCAGCCCATTTCTGCTACTGCACAGTGTTTCTGTGAATGTCAAAATTCAAAATAAGGTTTTGAAAATATTAGGTCAAGGTTCTGCAAATGCAAGGCATTTTATAATTTTCATGGGAAGAATTAAAGGAATAGAGATATGTGTATGTATAATGTATACAAACACTATGCTAAGAGGAATGTTTTATAATATGAGGAATCTAGATCATGCAAAGGTAGATATGGAAGTTTCTTTAGAAGAATTTTTTTTTTTCTGGTGCTGGGGATTGAACTAAGGGCCTTATTCATATTAAGTACACTCTCTATTATCAAGCCACATTCCCAGTTCCAAAGAAAGGTTAGCCCTTTGAAAACATGAAATATTCAATACAATTGTTATTCTTCAGTGGATAAATAAAAATGGTATTTATTTATGATGTGCAATATATTTTTATATATGTTGTGGAATGACTAAATCAAATGAATTAATACATGCATTATATCACATAATTTTTGTGGTAAGAAGCCTACTCTCAGCAAAATTTTCAAGTATACACATTGTATTGATAGTAACTATAGTCACTATTATGTATTTAAATCTCTTGGAAATTTTTCCCATTATAATTCTAGAGAGCTCTCAAAAACCTTCAAGAATAGTCCAGAAAACACATTTGAAGAGTAAACACATTTATAATTTTATTTTCAGATAATGAATGTCTACCAATCTTATTCTGTACAGAATAAATAAAATAATAAATAAATAAAGTGAGTTATTCATTGTTATGGTTTAGATGTGGTGTCTCCCTCAAAAGCTCATGTATAAGGCAACACAAGAGGTTTGCAGAAGAAATGATTGGTTTCTAGCCTTAATATAATTAGTGGATTAATCCCTGATAGGATTAACTGAATAGTGACTGGAGGCAGGTGGGGTGTGGTTGGAGGAAGTGATTCACTGGGGGCATGGCTATGGGGTATATATTTTGCATCTGGAGAATAGAGTCTCTGTTTTCTGATCACCATGTGAGCTGCTTCCCTCTGCCATACTTTTCCGCCATGATGTTCTGCCTCACCCCGAGGCCAGAGGCATGAAGCCGGCCTTCTATGGACTAAGACTTCTGAACCTATGAGCCCTCAAATAAATTTTTCTCCTTTATAATTGCTCCGGTGGATTCCTTTAATAACAGCAGAAAAAAAAAAGCGCTACATAAAACATTCATTAAACTGCTTGTTATGTCTATCATGCTGGGAACATGTATATCTATTATTCAATTAATCTTCACAATAGGACTACAGGCAAACAGTTTTATTCCTGTTTACAGAGGAGGACACTGGAGGTCAGAGAGTTTAAGAAATTTGCTCAAAGTAACCCAGCTGGGAATCGGTTGGCAGAGAATTTGGGGAGGGAGGTACACTCAGTGTTTCAGACCTCCTGGTTCAGGTACAGTAGAACAAAAGCCAAAAAAGAATGTTCCAAAACAGGAAATGTACCCCGTGGAGATCCAGCCTGTTAGAGAGGTAAACATGCCCCTAGACATTTAGGCGACTAAGTTTTGGCTGTGAAGAGCTTGCAAGGTGGGTGCCAAGGTGGTTCCCAGGGTTTTAAAATTCAGGTTATCTCAAGTCAGAACCAACAACACCAGTGCTTTTGAAAGATCCTAATTAATTCCTTAATAAGGGCCTTAGTCATCTTATTTGCAAATTCCTTGCAGGTGGCTTGAATTTCTTTCTTATCCTTTATGAAAAAGAAAGATTTACCCCAAACTTATGTTTTTTAATTCAATAATATGGCATAATTTAAGCCCTTTCTGAAATGGTTAACAGACTCATCATGAGAGAAAGTAAATGCAAAATCAAGTGCAGTTTGGAAGTGTACTTATCAGGTTCAAAGGAATTGCTAATGGGAGAAAGGGAGGGGGAGGGAGAAGAGTGCAAGAAGAAATTTAGCTAACTGATTGGGCCCAGAGCCTTAAGGAGAGTTAAAGGAGCTGGCCAACTCTTTCCCAAGAGATGGGTTAGTATTTAACTGTTTATCATTTTTTTGTAACTATTTGTGAATAGGAGAGACTGTCTTTGGCACTATATATATTTTAAAAAATAAAAGAACTTCTCAGATCCATTAGTTGGTAGGATGGCTACTATTCAAAAAAGAAAATAACTATTGTTGGCACGAGCATGGAGAAATCAGAGCTCTGTGCTGTTGCTGGGAATGTAAAACAGTGCAGCCACTATGAAAAAGTGTGTGGAGGCACCTTAAAAAATCAGGATTCTAACTCTGGGTATATACCCAAAGGAATTAAAATCAGGGTCTGTAAGAGAGATTTATACATCCACGTTTATGGCAGCATTTTTTTCATAGTAGCCAAAAGATGGAAGTGATCCAGTGGCCATGGATAAATGAACAGAGAAATAAAATATAGTATATACATACAATGGGATATTATTCTGTATGAATGGATAAAGAAAATGTGATATGTATATACAATGGAGTATTACTTAGTCAGAAAGAAGAATGACTTCATGGCATTTGCAGGTTGATGGCTAGATCTGGAGATTATCATGTTAAGTGAAATAAGTCAGTCCCCAAAAGTCAAAGGTTGAATGATTTCTCTGATATGTGGAAGTTAATCCAAAATAAAGAGGAGGGATGAAAATTAAAAAGAATAGAAGAATGATCAGTGGAGTAGATAAAAGGGAATGAAGGGAGGGGAGGAAAGATGGGATAGGGAATGGAATGACATACCATTCCTGTGTACATATATGAATACACCACAGTGAACCTCAACATCATGTATATTCATCCACAAGACATTAATTTTTTAAAGTAAATAGCAAGTAGATCAGTAGAACAGAGGGAAGAGAACAGAGGGGGGTAGGAGGAAGGGAGGGGAAGAGCAAGTGCTGGGGACTAAATTAAAACAAATATTCTGTGCTTTTATAATTATGTCAAAATGAATTCTATTGTCAGGTTTAACTAAAACATACCAATAAATAATAACAGGGGGGAAAGGAAGGAAATTTTGACATGCTGTAATATGGAGAAAACTTGAGAACATTTCATCAAGTGAAAAAGCCAATCACAAAAAGAGAAATAATCCCAAAATGAACCCCAATATTATGTATAACCATAACACACTAATAAAAGTGTAAACAGAGAGAAGTGCTCTGTGATTCCACTTATCGAGGCACCTAGAAAAGTCAGTTCCTAGAGAGAGCAAGTGGAAGGGTGGCTGCCAGGGACTGAGAGGTGAGGAATGAGGAGTTCATAGGTATAGAATTTAGTTTTCTAAGATGAAAAGAGTTTTGGAGGTTGGCTACACAGCAGTATGGACATACCTGTCACTATTGAAGTGTACACTTACAATAGCTGAGATAGTGCATTTTATGTAATGTCCCATTTGACCACTATTAAAAAGGAAAGAAAAATAATCCCTCACTATCTCTGTGGTTCCTCAGACTGAAAGAATCCAATTCTATTCAACTTACTCTGAGAAACAAATTACCAGGTGGAACTGGGTGGGCTCATTACAATTGATGAATAGATACGGAAACTGTGGTATGTATACACAACGGAATATTACAGGGCATTAAAATAGAATAAAATCATGGCATCCAGAGGTAAATGGATGGAGTTGGAGAATATCATGCTAAGCGAAGTAAGCCAATCCCCCAAAACACCAAAGTCCAAATGTTTTCTCTGATAAGTGGATGCTGATCCATAACCGGGAGGGAGAGGCATGGGAAAAATGGAGGAACTTTGATTGGCAAAGAGGAGGGAAGGAAGGGGCAGTACATGGAGGCAGGAAATATGGTGGAATGAGATGGACATCATTACCCTAGGTACATGTATGACTGCACATTTGGTGTGACGCTCCATTGTGTACAACTATAGAAATGGAGAGTCGTGCTGCAATTGTGTACAGTAAATCAAAATGCATTCTGCTGTCATATATACCTAATTAAAATAAATAGATAATAAATAAGTAAATAAAGAAGGATCGCTGGGACACAACCCAGAACCAGTGGGTAAGCAATAGCAAGGACAGGTAGGCAGCTTCTTAGATGGTTATCAAGATGAATCTACCATATCATGTTTAATCTTTTATTGCAACTCTGGGTTCAGATTAAAATTCTAGGGTGAGAGCGTGAAATGGGCCCTACTTGAGACTAGGAAGCAACTGAAGGCCTCACTCACCACAGAGCTGTGGAGGTGTGGCTTCTCTTGTTGCTGCTGCTGCTGCACAGAGGCTGTCCTTACTGCTGTTGCTGAAACCCTGGTGGCCTTCAGGGACCTTTGGCTACTACCACTCCCATGCCTCAACCTCACCTCACTGGGAACAACCAGCCAACCAGCAAGGGAGAAGTGAGATGGAGTGAGGTTTTGGTTCCTGTGGTCCCATCACATCATATCTGGCCCTAAAGCAGGCATGCATTCTGGAGCAAAGGAGAAATGCTCCCCACTGTGTGGAGTCTGGGACATGGGGCTCTTATTTTTTTTTAAAGAGAGAGGGGGGTGGAGAGAGAGAGAGAGAGAGAGAGAGAGAGAGAGAGAGAGAGAGAGAATTTACTTTTCAGTTTTCGGTGGACACAACATCTTTATTTTTATTTTATGTGGTGCTGAGGATCGAACCCAGTGCCCCGCGCATGCCAGGCAAGCGCGCTACCACTTGAGCCACATGCCTGGTTCTTGCTTAACTCTCTAGTGTCTCCTCGCTTGCCTGACTCAGATTTCCTTGGTTGTTATCAATCACGAAGTTCAAGTCTACTTTGGAGGACTTTGCAAGTGATACCCGGTGAACTTGGAGAACTCCCTCTTGTCTTCTTCTCCTAGAACCCCACCACCTCCTAAATGTCCCCATAATCTTAGTTGACTAAATAAACTTATTTTTAGATTTTTAACTGATATGTTACTCTTTCAGAGAAGCTTTCCGTGATCTTTTCACTCTTTCCCACCTGTTAGTGTTGATTAATTAGTCCTATTTTAGTCTCTCATAGAACCAGTACCACACATTCAACACACCTGTTACAATTGTGATGTTGTGTGTGTGTGTGTTATT